ACCCCCTGCTCAGGCAGGAAACCCTATACCACTTCGGACAAATGGCTGTCCAGTCGCTTCTTAAAAACTTCCAGTGTTGGAGCATTCACAGCTTCTGGAGGCAGGATGGTCCACTGGTTAATTCTTCTCACTGTCAGGAAGTTTCTCCTTAGTTCCAGGTTGCTTCTCTCCTTGATCAGTTTCCATCCGTTGCTTCTTGTCCTGCCTTCAGGCGCTTTGGAGAATAGCTTGACTCCCTCTTCTTTGGGGCAGCCCCTGAGATACTGGAAGGCTGCTATCATGTCCCCCCTCGTCCTTCTCTTCGTTAAACTAGACCAGGGGTAGGCAACCTTGGCTCTTTTATGAGTCCTGGACTTCAACTCCCAGAATTCCTGAGCCAGCCACGCTGAGGGAAAAGGGAGAGGTTTCCAAGCTCAGCCATGCTGGCTCAGGAATTCTGGGAGTTGAAGTCCACGGGTCATAAAAGAGCCAAGGTTGCCTACCCTTGCACTAGACATACCCAATTGCAGCAACCATTCCTTATATGTTTTAGCCTCCAGTCCCCTGATCATCTTTGTTGCTTAGTTTCTTAGAACTCATCCCAAACGAGCTTTTCAAAAGGCAACTAGACTTTCTCGGTGGTTGTGTTTTTTCCTTGAAAATGTTTCGCTTCTCATCCAAGGAGCTTCTTCAGTTCTGAAGAAGCAGAGAACTGAAAAAAGCTTCTTGTATGAGAAGTGCAACATTTTCAAGAGGGGGAAAAAAAAACAAACCAAGAAAAGTTCAAAAGTTGCCTTTTGAAAAGCACCTCCGGGGCAGCCCTCCATGATCTCGATCAGGGGTGTCAAACTCGCAACGTCACGTGACGTGTCGCGACATATCACGACTTTTTTTTGCCATCGTCGGCCATGGGGTGGGCGCGGTTTCGCCATGACGCATCTGGCCCGCCGGCTGTCAGCTTGACACCCCTGATCTAGATGATTGGGAATCTCCACAGACCTTCTCAGAACTTACTACATTAGCAGTACAGATGGGTGAGGCCCAAATAGTGTGAGTAAAACTCTTTCCTACCTGAAGGAGGCAAGCGGCTCAAGAGTTCCCCTTAAAATACATAGTCACGACAGGGAGTAGGATAGGGCTACCTAAGTCAAACATGTCAAACACAAGGCCCGGGGAACGGATGCGGCCTGCGAAGTGGTTTCATGTGGCCCGCGAAGCCATCCTGAAAACAGTGAGGGAACGGCCCCCGCTGCCTTGGCCCTGGCCCAGGCCGGCCGGGAGCAAATGTACAATTTTGTGGTGGCCATCTATGCTGAAACGCATTCAGTCTTAGCTCCACAAGGCCGTCCGGAAACAGCGAGGAACCAGGTCCAGCCGCGTCGGCCCCTCCCCCTGGGTGCATGCTGGGGAGGTGTCACCCTTTGTGAGGAATGAAGAAATGGACCATGCCTTGGCGCTTGCCCCGGTCCCACCCCCTTCTGCCAGAGACCCTCAGATCTGTCCCACTCCTGCCCAGGCCCCCATAGGCACCCTTGACGCGAACCATGTAGAGCTGGCCATGCCCACCCAGCAGGCCACACCCACTCCATCCATGCCCACCCAGTAGGCCGCACCCACCCTGGCCACACCCACCCAGCCCCCCAAGGGCAACCGCAATGCTGATGCGGCCCTCAATGAAATTGAGTTTGACACCCCTGACCTAAGTCAACTCTCCACCTAATCTACTCTAGGAATGGGAGAAATCCCCACAATTCTTCTTAGGCTTCTCCTAAGGGCAGGATTGGATGGGTAGGGGTGGGGTGGGGTGGGGTGGGGGAACAAGAGGGCACAATAGCGCACTGCGTGGTTACTTTGAGTAACCCTTGATAACGCAAAATCTCCTGCTGGTTTCTTTTGTTTCCCCCTTCAGCAGTTCATGAGTGACCCAGAGTTACTGAAACAGCCAGTCTTGCTCAATACTTGAGCGGCACCTACTGCTCGTTTTGCAGAAATGACAGCTGGCAGGAGGGGAAAAAAAAACCTTTTTGAAAGGAGGGAAACTCGTGTTATCTAGGGAGTCTTAAAGTACGTTATCTGTAAACATATATGCATAATTCCGTATTTATTTATTTATATTTGTCATGTTTATGTAGTGTATGTCGGAGGTGGTGAATGCAACGAAATTTCATTTTAATGTATGCCGATTATTGTACATTCAAAGTGACAATAAAGTTATTATTCTTTTCTATTCTATTCTATTCTATTCTATTCTATTCTATTCTATTCTATTCTATTCTATTCTATTCTAATATTACTCTATTCTATTCTCCATTCCATATTCTATTCTATTCTAATCTAATATTATTCTATTCTATTCAGTTCTTTCATTATTCTATTCTATTCTAATCTAATCTAATCTAATCTAATCTAATCTAATCTAATCTAATCTAATATTATTCTATTCTATTCAAATATTCTTCTCTTCTCTTCTCTTCTCTTCTATTTTATTCTAATATTACTCTATTCTATACTCCATTCCATATTCTCTTCTCTTCTCTTCTAATATTCTTCTATTCTATTCTATTCTATTCTCAATAAAGATTCTATTCTATTCTATTCTATTCTATTAATATTACTCTACTCTACTCTATTCTATTATATTTTCTTTTCTATTCTATTCAGTTCTTTCATTATTCTATTCTATTCTATTTTATTCTATTCATATTACTCTACTCTATATATTCTACTCTACTCTACTCTACTCTATTCTATTCTAGTCCTCGACTTACAACCATTCATTTAGCAGCCCTTTGAAATTACAGCAGCACCGGAAAAAAGAAAGTGGCTTACAACGGGTCCTCACATGCACACACACAAACTGTTTTAATGTTCCCCGTGGTCATGTGATCACAATTTGGGCACTTAAGCAATCGGTATGTATTTACGATGGTTGGGGTGTCCTGGAGTCATGTGATTCTCATTTACGACCTTCCCAGTTGCCTCCCAACAAGCAAAGTCAATGGGGGAAGCGGGATTCGTTTAATGACCATGTGATTCACTTAACTGCCGTGATTCACTTAACAATCATCACAAAAAAGGATTGTAAAAATCAGGTGCGATTCACCTAAAAATTGCCTTGCTTAGCTACAGGAACAGTGGTTCCAACTGTGGTCATAAGTCAAGGACTGTATCTACCTATCATCTATCTATCTATCTATCTATCTATCTATCTATCTATCTATCTATCTATCTATCTACCTACCTACCTACCTACCTACCTACATACATACATACATACATACATACAAGAAATCTTTTGCCTGTATCAGCTCAATCTAGAGCCATCCACAGGCAGCAGTCACTACTGCGACATCATTTGTGTTTCCTAAATTTTTGGATTGCTAACAAAGGGGGACTGGGATAGCTATTTCGAGCTGATTAGCTCTCATCAGCCAGCCATACCCTTCTGAGATTTGAACCTGGGCTGCTTGCACATTAGGCAGCTCTCACAGTAGCTACTGCTGCCTGTGGATGGCTCTAAATTGAGCTGATACAGGTGAAAGATTTTCTCCTCCCATATTTGGGCCGACAGGTGAATCAAAAAAACACTCAAGACATATCTCCTCCCCTGTCGACATCGTCAGAGTATAAAACGTAGGATCCGCGAGTATGCTTATATAACTGGCTGCCCCTGCGCACTGCTCCTCAATCGGGTCATATATATATATATATATGTAAGTTAATCTAATTCAGTTTTCCTGAAGGTCAGGGTCTTGTCTCACATAAAATGGTTTTTATGCCAGGACAGAAAATTATCAGCATCGTCATCTGTTGTTAAGTAGGAAGAGGTTATGAATCAGACTTGAACTGGGGAAATCCCCCTAAATTCTCAGACTTTGTAAAAATAAGCCAAGGAAGTTATTTTTATACCAGATCCATTTAGGTATCTACCACATCCTGTATTAATGGGCAGTGGTTCTGCAGGATCCCAACTTAGAGCTGACAGGATAGCAAGTCTTCCCAGTATCTCAGGGGCTGCCCCAAAGAAGAGGGAGTCAAGCTATTCTCCAAAGCACCAGAGGGCAGGAGAAGAAGCAACGGACGGAAACTAACCAAGGAGAGAAGCAATCTGGAATTAAGGATGAATTTTCTGACAGTGAGAACAAAGAGGAATGGCTTCCTTCAGAAGCTACGGGTGCTCCATCACTGGAGAGACTGGACAACTATTTGCCTGAAACGGTACAGGGCCTCTTGCTGGAGTAGGGGGTAGGACTAGAAGATCTTCAAGGTCCCTTCCAACTCTCTTATCCTTTAAGATCTCATCACAATCCTTTTCTCAGGAGATGCTTATGATCCAAGCTGGGGTTTCTGCACAAAATGTGTCCTCATGCCATTCAGAGGAGCAGAAAACATCTCCAGTGCTACTTGTTCTTTCTTTAATCAGAAAAGACATAGAAAAAAAAAAGTAGCTTTATGACCTTACAATCAGAGGATAGAATTTATGCTCCCTCACTGAAATTCTCTGCTGGCTGTCTGCTGCCTTTCCTTTTTTGTCTCATAAACCAGTGATGGCGAACCTTTTAGAGACCAAGTGCCCAAACTGCAACCCTAAACCCACTTATGCATCGTCGGGTGCCGGGTGGGTGTGGCCCTTTGGGTGGGCGTGGCCGCGGTGGTAACGGCAGACTGGGTGGGACTAAAAAGTTCAATCAATCAATTCCAACTTTGCGAGTTCTTTTTTTTTCCCCGTGAGAAGTTGAAATTGACTGATTGATTGAACCTTTTTTTTTTTGCACACGGCGGCGGAGGCCTAAAGCGAAAAGGTTTTATAAAACCCATCTGAAGGCCTAGGACTGGGGCGATGGCGCGCGTGCCCACAGAGAGGGCTCTGAGTGCCACCTCTGGCACCCGTGCCATAGGTTCGCCACCACTGTCATAAACTATACAGACCTTCTGCCAGGCTACTGAATATTAACACAATCTGAGACAGAACAGGGGTGTCCAAGAAACGCCTTTGTATCAAGTAGCCATGAGTAACTCACAGGTATGCTCCATATCTGTATCCCGTCGCTGTAGCCAATCATGAGCAGGAGAGGCGGTTCGTTCCCGGTGCTGTGCATTTCGTGCAGCTCCACGTTCCTTAAGGTATCTAAAAAAAACGAACGAGAAAAAGAAATCAACGTTCAGCAGCACCCAGACTAGGACAAGGCTTCCGTGGAGCCCGAAGAGCTGGCACGGAGAACAGAACGGGTAATAGGATAACAGAGTTGGAAGGGACCGTGGAGGTCTTCTATCCCAACCCCCTGCTCACGGATAGTGGGAAGCAAAGAAGAAATGAAATAGTCCATTATCCCTGGAGAAAAGAAGAAGNAAGAAGAAGAAGAAGAAGAAGAAGAAGAAGAAGAAGAAGAAGAAGAAGAAGAAGAAGAAGAAGAAGAAGAAGAAGAAGAAGAAGAAGAAGAAGAAGAAGAAGAAGAAGAAGAAGAAGAAGAAGAAGAAGAAGAAGAAGAAGAAGAAGAAGAAGAAGAAGAAGAAGAAGAAGAAGCCGTGTCGTTTCATTGATATGCTTCTGATAAAAGGCTTTCTTCGCCCGTTAACAAAAGCGGTGTGCAAATGAGAGCAGTCAAGCAATTGGGAGTTCTTAGGACTTTTGAGCAGCCGGTAAGAAATCTCTTGTGTCGTGGTGACATTTCAAGGTGATGGAGGACAATGCAGGTGGGTCCTTGATTTATGACCACGATTGAGCCCGGAATTTATGTTGGTAAGTGAGACATTGATCAAGTTGAGTTTTGCCCCATTTTACGACTTTTCTTGCCGCAGTTGTTAAGTGAATCACTGCAGCTGTTAAATTAGTAACACGGTTGTTCCGTGAATCTGGCTTCCCCCATTGACTGATCACATGACCCCCGAGACACTGCAACCGTCGTAAATACAAACCAGTTGTCAAGCAACCGAATGTAAATGACGTGACCGTGGGGATGCTGCAACGGTCATAAGGGTGAAAAATGGTCATGTCAATTTTTTCAGTGCCGTTGTAATTTCGAACAGTCACTAAATGAACTGTTAAGTCAAGGACTACCTGTAATTGTCTCTTAAGGTCCTTTGCGATAGATAGATAGATGATAGATAGATAGATAGATAGATAGATAGATAGATAGATAGATAGATAGATAGATAGATAGATAGATAGATAGATATAGAGAGGTATTCTATAAGAGGGGGGGTTATTCCAGCAATTCCATGATCATGTGATCAAAATCTGCCCACTTGTCAGCTGGCTTTTATATGAGGGTTGCACTGTCCCGGGGTCATGTGATCACCGGTTCTAACCTTCCCAGCCGGTTTCCGACAAGCAAAGTCAATGAGGTGTTGAAAGAAAAGTCTTTGTCGTGGTTCAGTCCAAGCTGGGAATAAACATGGTGCCTGCTTTAGAAAGAAGGTTGCAGTTTATTGAAGAGGAGAGCCAGGCAGAAAGATAGCTCTGGCAGAAAAGAGAGTGAACACATGTAGGGAGTGGGTTTTTATACCCTCTGGAGCCTTTTGCTTGGAGTTGTTTCCTGTTCCTGTTTGAGTCATGAACTTTGACCTGAGTCTGAGTGTGCCCTTTGGTATCTGTGGTTTAATCCTATTATGTCCTGTCTTAGAGTTTGGGTGGGGTATGTAGATTTTAGGAGTCTTTGTCTTCCTAAGCTTCTAGCTGGGGGCTTCCAACCTTCCTGGATGGTTTACATCTGCATTTCTATAGAGCTGGTTTCTGCTTGGGGGAGGGAGACCCGGGACCAGTGGTGGCGAACCTATGGCACGGGTGCCAGAGGCGGCACTCAGAGCCCTCTCTGTGGGCACGCACGCCATCGCCTGAGTCCTAGACCTTCAGCTGGGTTTTATAAAACCTTTTCGCTTTAGGCCTTCGCTGCCGTGTACACACACAAAAAAAGGTTCAATAAATCAGTCAATTTCAACTTCTCGCGGGAAAAAAAAGATCTTGCAAAGTTGGAATTGATTGATTGAACTTTTTAGTCCCACCCAGTCTGCCGTTACCACTGGAGGCATGCCCACCCAATGGACCACACCCACCCAATGGGCCACATCCACCCGGCACCCGACGATGCATAAGTGGGTTTTGGGTTGCAGTTTGGGCACTCGGTCTCTAAAAGGTTCGCCATCACTGCCCGGGACCATTAAGAAAACTGGGCATGCTTTTCTGCCTCTTTAAGATCCTTTGAGGAAATATATTTTTCTGCCCTTTTAATATTTCCTTCTCTGGGGGGCTGACTTCCCACAGAGGGAAGGCAGATTCGCTGAACAATCATATGATTTGCTTAATAATTGCAGCGATTCTTGAACAACTATGGCCAAAAAAAGGTCGTAAAATGGAACGCTTAAGAATTGCCTTGCTTAGCAAGGGAAATATTGGGGACTCGCTCTGTAGGTAGTCTGAGAAAGAACATATCCCATTTGTTACCATCTGAGATGGAAGGGGATAGCTCTTAAAATACAGATACCAAGAGACTGAATATAAAACAACACGGCCATGAACTGGGGTGGGAAGTGGGGAGGGGGGGGAAGAGAGACTTACCATTCAAGTCAGAATTTTCAAATCTGATCCATACAATTTTCTCTTTTTCTTCTGTTGGAGCCGTACTGCTATAAGCCTGTATGGGGAGGGGAGAAAAAAAAAGAGGTTTAATGTGCTGAAGATAAAAACAAAAAGCCTCAGATGAACAAAGATGCTTTTTCACGAGACACCTGGACTTTCTTGTTTTTCTTTGAAGACTGTTTGCTCAGATGAACAGTGAACAGCTTAACTCTGTTGACAGACCACAGAGCCAATTTGGTGAAGCGGTTAAGGTGTTGGTAGAAAAAAAAAAGCTTTTGATTAAAAATTTTGAACAAAAATATGTATATCAAATACTGACATAATTTAAAATTTTTGTACGTATATTAATGTTATTTTAGAGTCATAGCAAGTTTATACTAGTGTGTAGTAATAATGAGTAGTTTTGAATAGATTTGGATTATTGTGTGTTTATTTCCTAGATTAGCTTTGGGAAGTCCTGGGGGGGAGGGGGGAAAAGGGTAGGTTTGTATTATAGACTTATATGTATGATTTTTTAAGGAGTTGCCCGGTGATACCCCAACTGCACAAGACGGGATGGTTGAGTGAGGAAGGGAGGTAGGAAAGAGGGAGGAAGGAGGAGTGGTGGTTGAATGGGAGGAGGAAGGAGTGGTAAGTGGAAGAGGGTGGTGCAGGAGGGGGACACTGGACACGTCCATGAATGTTTTGTTTAGTTTTATTCTCTTTGGTTGATATTGTGATAAAAGATTTATGCTTATGTTTTTAAATGAAAAATTAATAAAAATTTATTATAAAAAAAAAAAAACAGAAAAAAAACCCAGGAAACTGAGTTCTAATCCCGTTTTAGGCATGAAAGCCAGCTAGGTGACTTTCAACCAATCACCAGGAGACGGTGAGTTCTAGTCCTGCCTTAACCATGAAAGCCAGCTGGGTGACTTTCAGTCCCTCTTTCTCTCAGCCCAACCCACCTCAAAGGGTTGTGATTGCGGGAAAATATTAGGAGGATGGAGGATGTATGTTCGCCGCCTTGAGTTATTTATACCAGGGCTTTTCAACCTTTTCACCGATTGTACCACTTTTAGGATATGGCAATATCCAAGTATCGCCTAGCAAGGTGTCAAAAGCTTGATGACCAAAAAAAGAAAAAGTGATGAAGTACAGGTAGTCCTTGACTTGCAACAGTTCGCTTAATGACTGTTCGAAGTTACAATGGCACTGGAAAAAGTGCCCCCCCCAAGCCACAGCCGAGCAAGACACCTGCCTGCCCGCCCGGTGGTGCTCTTCCTCCTGTCCAAGGTTTTCATTGTTGTGAGCATTTCTGTTGGGGATTGGCAGCGGGGGTGGGGTGGGGGGGTGTTTGGTTTTTATTCCCCCCGTCTGCTGGGTGGTTGCAGCAGGTTTTGGTCACTTCACATGACCCTGGGACACTGTGACCGTCATAAATATGAATCAGTTGCCAAGCATCTGGAGATGCTTCAACATTCCAGCTGATCGGCGCTTCTTCAGGGCTCAGCAGAAGCACCAGGATCAGCGCCGAGCTGCAGCTGGAGCCTGGCGGTGATCCTGGCGCTTCCACTGACCGCCCTGCAGCTCTAGTCATCTCTCGCTCAGGCTTGTGCGGTGCTGCCACCGGTTCAGCTCATTCCCCTCCCCCGCTACCACTTTTCTAGGATGGTCACGTACCACCTGCCAGGTGCCAATGTACCACAGGTGGTACCCGTACCACGGGTTGAAAAGCCCTGATTTATACAATAATAAAGGCAGGATAAAAATCTAATAAATAAAATATTGCATCCTCTTTCCAAAAATAATATTAATAATAGTAAAGTTGGAAGGTCATCTAGTTTAACCCCCTGCTCAGGCAGGAAACCCTACACCATTTCGGACAAATGGCTGTCCAGTCTCTTCTTAAAAACTTCCAGTGTTGGAGCATTCACCGCTTCTGGAGGCAGGTTGTTCCACTGGTTAATTGTTCTCACTGTCAGGAAGTTTCTCCTTAGTTCTAGGTTGCTTCTCTCCTTGATCAGTTTCCACCCGTTGCTTCTTGTCCTGCCTTCAGGCGCTTTGGAGAATAGCTTGACTCCCTCTTCTTTGTGGCAGCCCCTGAGATACTGGAACACTGCTATCATGTCCCCCCTCGTCCTTCTCTTCATTAAACTAGACATACCCAATTCCAGCAGCCGTTCCTTATATGCTTTAGCCTCCAGTCCCCTAATCATCCTTGTTGCTCTTCTCTGTACTCTTTCCAAAGTCTCAACATCTTTTTTACATCGCAGTGACCAAAAGTGGATGCAGTATTCCAAGTGTGGCCTTACTAAGGCATTGTAAAGTGGTATTAACACTTCACGTGATCTTGATTCTATCCCTCTGTTAATGCAGCCTAGCACTGTGTTGGCCTTTTTGGCAGCTGCAGCACACTGCTGGCTCATATTTATGATAACAGAGTTTCACTGTCCTGGCTTCCTGTTTATGTGCTGTCATTTTCTAATCATCCTTCTACACTACACAGCTAGTAATTTTCTGGGCTGGAGGGCACCGTGTAATTTTTGTCCGCCTACCATACTGCACAGTACTGACGCTTCAAGCAGGCCATTAACTACTCTTTTTCCCCCCTCTGGGGCCCCATTTTGATTACAATCATATAAATACTCACAATCTGAATTTAATTTCTTTTAAAGTATACAACTCATTTGCATAACACGTTAAACCAAAATCCAACCAATCACATTATGACTTATTGCGATATACAAACTATGAGCCACTGATAAACGTAACTCTGCCTGAGATGATGATGATGATGATGATAATGATGATAATAATAATAATAATAATAATAATAATAATAATAATAATGATGATGATGATGATGATGATGATGATGATGATGATGTTGGAAGGGACCTTGGAGGGCATCTAGTCCAACCCCCTGCTCAGGCAGGAAACCCTATACCATTTCAGACAAATGGCTGTCCAGTCTCTTCTTAAAAACTTCCAGTGTTGGAGCATTCACAGCTTCTGGAGGCAGGTTGTTCCACTGGTTAATTGTCCTCACTGTCGGGAAGTTTCTCCTTAGTTCTAGGTTGCTTCTCTCCTTGATCAGTTTCCATCCGTTGCTTCTTGTCCTGCCTTCAGGCGCTTTGGAGAATAGCTTGACTCCCTCTTCTTTGGGGCAGCCCCTGAGATACTGGAAGACTGCTATCATGTCCCCCCCTCATGTCCTCTTGGCACGCTCTTTTCTACATTTCCCCCATCTTTGCCCCCCACACACACACTTTCTTTGGGGAACCCATTTTAAGAGGACAACGTTTAAAACGTTGCAACAAACCAGCTGCACTTGCCTGCGGTACGACATCTTGCAGAAATGTAACAACGCTTTCCATGTATGACTGCTCCCTGGAACAGAAAGATGAATATCCATAAAAAACAACAATGGTTATTATATACATACACAAATGTCCCCGGTGGAATTACAGGTTAAGCAGCATCATGCACATCGCAAAATAGGAGTAACAAACAATAACCCAAAGAAATGAAGGGCATAAGATAAGGAAAAAAAGATAGGAAACATTGAATTAAGTTAAGTTTAAAACTACGTTTTTCTGAACAATACAGATTTTTTTTCCCAAAAGTCAACTTCGATACTTTCGTTATCACTATTCACTGGAACCTAACATGCAACTATGAACAATTTTATAAAAGTAAATGTACCTACAAATGGCTTGAAGAATAAAAACGGACTTCAAAATTTAAGAGAGGGTTTCTAAGAAAAATGACAGAATTTGAAATACTCATAGAGAATTAAGACTGCTGATTAAGACCCGAGATTAATTATGACAGCTCATAGTTGTTAACAGCTGTTGTGAACTCTGGGCTGTACCAGACAAAGAAATTCCAAAGTGGATATCAAAATAACCCACAACCAAAAAACATCACTCTTACAGGTAGCATGTTTAGCAAACTAACTTCAGCAGCAGAAAAAAATCAAGTTTTATCTTCCATTTGGAACTCTAGATCAGAGGTCTCCAACCTTTTGGGCATCAGGGACCGGTTCCGTGGAGAGAGGTTTTTCCGAAGACCGGAGAGTGCGTGGTTTTGTGTGCTGCCTGCATCCCACAGATAGGGCTTTGCTTGTTTGTGTGGACCGGTTGCTGGCATGCCGCGGCCTGGGGGTTGGCGACCCCTGCTCTACATGAACAATATGGAATTGTACCTATATTCTATAAATATAGTGGTTAGAATGCAGTATTGCAGGCTGATTCTGCCGACTGCCAGCAGTTTGATCTTAACCAGCTCAAGGCTGATTGAGCCTTCCGTCCTTCCGAGGTCGGCAAAATGAGAACCCAGATTGTTGGGGGGAAAATGCTGACTCTGTAAACCGCTTAGAGAGAGCTGTAGAGCACTGTGAAACAGTACATAAGTGATATTCCTTCCTTCCTTCCTTCCTTCCTTCCTTCCTTCCTTCCTTCCTTCCTTCCTTCCTTCCTTCCTTCCTTCCTTCCTTCCTTCCTTCCTTCCTTCCTTCCTTCCTTGTTAAAATGCAGTGTTGCAGGCTGACTCTGCCCACTGCCAGGAGTTCAATCCTGACCGGCCAAGGGTTGACTCAGCCTTCTGAGGTTAGTAAAATGAGGACCCAGATTGTTGGGGGCAAATATGCTGACTCTGTAAACTGCTTAGAGAGGGTTGTAAAGCACCATGAAGCAGCATATAAATCTAAGTGCTCTTGCTATTAACCACTTACGTAACAGCCTGTGGCCGGACTATCACTCCTCCAGTACATCGGCTTGGGCGGCGGGGAGATTCAGCAGCCATTACTGTTCTTAATTCCTGGAAGCAAAAAAAAAAAAGTGTTTTTGAATTATGTCTCACACGCTCTTATTCACCCACTTCTTCAGTGATCATCAACAGCACACTATTTTAAAAAGAAACTGATATCAAAAGGTATGCAAACCGCAAAATCAGCAGGTCAGAAAAGGCAAGTGATGATGGATCAATGCTACATCTTACCTCCCACGGCCCAAAACCTTGAATTGGAATCTCTAAAGCCCTGCCTAAAAAATGCCCAGACTACCTCAGTCTTTGTATGTAGATAGAAGTAATAGAAAAATTAAGTCACTCCTAACTCAGGGGTCACTTCATCCAATCACATTAAGCTAAAATGAAATGAGGACAATATAGTTTGGTGTGATATACAAAATTACCACTAAAATCAGTGAGGCTAAAAGTTAACTGCTGCCCAGAGTAGCCCAACGGTGAGATACCGGTAGGTGGCAAATAAATTTAACAAATAATAATTATAATAACTAAACTCACCAGACTTTATTTCAAAGATGTACCCGAAAGCACAACTAAATATGGAATCAACCAACTGCCAGTCTCACAGGAAACGGGGCTGCAAGCATGCGCACGAGGCTCTCAATGATGCTGGCGCCTGTGTGAGGCTCGTGGTGCCGCCACCGCCAGGCTCGTGGCGATGCTATCACCAGCGCAAGCCCCCATGCGAGGCTCGCACCATGGCCCACATGCTGCTTGTGGCGCTGCCGCCGCCCGCACAATTTTTGTGCAATGCTGCCTACATGTAGTGTGCCACCGCCCACCTGCCACTCACAGTGCTCCTGCTGCCCGCACAAGTTTTGTGGCAACGCTGCCACCCACGCAATACTCGTGGAAACAGTGGCATGAGGGAGGTGAGCATGCACACATGCACCCATGCACTGCCCAGCTACTCACGTGGCCCAGTGGCCAAGAGGCCACACCCCGGTAGTGGGCCCTGGCCCATAGGTTGGGGACCTCTGGCTTATAGGATTTATTCTACATTGACTGATTCTCAGTTATTCCTTCTTCCTTGCCCTTTTCAAACATATATGCCAGTGATGGCGAACCTTTTAGAGACCGAGTGCCCAAAAACTGCCCCCCCGTCCCCGCTCCACCCTGCCCGCTGGGCCACCCACCACCTCCACGACCCACCACAGATCACCAAGGCAGCCCAGTAGCGCCATGGTGGCCACGCCCTCTGCCCATGCCCCGCAGCATCAGATGTGCATGACGGGCTGCAAGGGCAGAGTCTTGTCCCCACTGCACGGCTGCCATGTCCTTGGCTGTGCTGCTTCGCGTGGGCCGCGCCCGGGGGCGGCTCTCCTCCAGGGGGGCTGCTGAAGAGGGGGCCATGGGAGGAAGTGGGGCTGGGACGATGGTGTGTGTGCCCACAGAGAGGACTCCGAGTGCCGCCCCTGGCACGCGTGCCATAGGTTCGCCACCACTGATATATGCCGCCCAAGAAAAACAAGGTAATTGTTTCCTAAGATCAAAAGTTGTTTTTTAATTCTTATTTTGTCTTCTAGGACAGGGCTTTTCAACCAGTGGTAGGGGTACCACCTGTGGTACATTGGCACCTGGCAGGTGGTACCCGACCATCCTAGAAAAGTGGTAGAGGGGGAGGGGAATGAGCTGAACTGGTGGCAGCACTGCACAAGCTTGAGCGAGAGACGGCTGGAGCTGCAGGGCTGTCAGGGCTCAGCGGAAGCACCAGGATCAGTGCCGAGCTCCAGCTGGAGCTCGGCGCTGATCCTGGTGCTTCTGCTGAGTCCTGAAGAAGCACCAATCAGCTGGAAAGCAGCACTGATCCTGGCACTTCTGCTGAGCCCTGAAGAAGCGCCAATCAGCTGGAATGTTGCAGCATCTCCAGGGTCTTGTGATTTACATTCAGATGCTTGGCAACTGATTCATATTTATGACGGTCACAGTGTCCCAGGGTCATGTGAAGTGACCAAAACCTGCTGCAACCACCCAGCAGACGGGGGGAATAAAAACCAAACACCCCCCCACCCCATCCCCGCTGCCAATCCCCAACAGAAATGTTCACAACAATCAAAACCTCGGACAGGAGGAAGAGCGCCGCCGGGTGGGCAGGCAGGTGTCTTGCTCGGCTGTGGCTTGGGGGGCACTTTTTTCAGTGCCATTGTAACTTCGAACAGTCACTAAGCGAACTGTTGTAAGTCGAGGAGTAACTATACTTTATCACTTTTTTCCATTTTTGGGGGGGGGGGTCATCAAGTTTTTGACACCTTGCTAGGCGACTGGTGGTACTCGGATGTTGCCATATCCTAAAAGTGGTACAATGGGTGAAAAGGTTGAAAAACCCTGTTCTAGGAATTGTCGTTTAAAGAAGCCCACGAATGAATTCAAAAGAATCCTTCAGGCACGTAGACGTGCCTGACCAGCAGGGGGCCATAGTACGTATGTTTTGATACCCCCAAAATCTGAAGCTGTCTCAATCATAACCTCAAATGTGTACAGGTATTCCTCAACATACGACCACAATCGAGCCCAAAATTGCTGCTGCTAAGTGAGATAGTTGTTAAGTGAGTTTTGCCCCCTTTGATGACCTTTCTTGCCAGAACTGTCAAGAGAATCACTGCAATTGTTAAATTAGTAACAGTCATTGAGTAAATCCGGCTTCCCTATTGACTTTGCTCGTCAGAAGGTCCCAAAAGGGGATCACATGACCCCAGGACACTGCGATCGTCATAAAAATGATTCAGTTGCCAAGCATCTGTATTTTGATCACGTGACCATGAGGGAGACTGCAACGGTCGTAAAGTGTGAAAAATGATCATGTCACTTTTTTTCACTGCTGTTGTAACTTCAAATGGTCACTAAACAAACTGTTGTAAGTCAAGAACAACCTGTACATATAGACATGGTTGTCTCCTCCGTTCTACTCCAGCCCCTGCTTTTTTATCTCAAACTCCCACAGCAGCTAGGTATTAAAGGAAAAAACAGCTAAGAATTTGTTCCACAGGGAGTGAAAAAGGCTCTTTTGGGGTTTTTTTGAGAAACCCCTATTTTCAGACACTTCTAGTGCTCTATCCTCCCTATCCCAAAAGCACCTCTAGTATGTCTCTCAGATTCCCCACCCTATCAACGGCTCTCGTAGATGTTCCTTAAACTGTCTTACACTCTTGCTCTTTCACTACCATTTGCTTTTAAATTAGTAGGTAACCCCACTGACATTATTAAGTTCACTTTCCATGCCCTACAATTAAGATACACTACAATTAGAGGACTGGAGGCTAAAGCATATAAGGAACGGTTGCTGGAATTGGGAATGTCTAGTTTAACGAAGGGAAGGACGAGGGGGGACATGATAGCAGTCTTCCAATATCGCAGGGGCTGCCCCAAAGAAGAGGGAGTCAAGCTATTCTCCAAAGCACCTGAAGGCAGGACAAGAAGCAACGGATGGAAACTCATCAAGGAGAGAAGCAACCTAGAACTAAGGAGAAACTTCCTGACAGTCAGAACAATTAACCAGTGGAAAAACCTGCCTCCAGACGTGGTGAATGCTCCATCACTGGAAGTTTTTAAGAAGAGACTGGACAGCCATTTGTCTGAAATGGTATAGCGTTTCCTGCCTGAGCAGGGTTGGACTAGATGACCTCCAAGGTCCCTTCCAACATCATCATCATCATCATCATCATCATTATTAATTATTATTATTATTATTATTATTATTATTATTATTATTATTATTATTATTATTATTATTAAAATGGGATCTTTCAACCCCATTCTTTCCTAACATTATAACAGATTAACTGGCAAAGTGTTACCTAAATCATCTTTTGGACTGATCAATAAAATAAAGGCCAAAAAAACCTTTTTATTTTGCTGGCCTAATATAAATAAAAAATGCAATCACTCAAGTAGTAGTTATATAAAGCAGTAAGAATGCAATGTGCCAAATCACAGCACTGGTTATCAATGAGCAACGTCCAGTGATGGCTGTGTTCGCACAACACACTGACCCACAAATTAATCATGGGGTTAGTGTATAGTTAAAATGCAAATCCAGAAAACTGAGTCAGTTACCCACGGCCAAGTATGTTAACAAGGGAACTGTTTGTTCAGTCATAGCTTATGAAATAAATTAGCTAGATCCACACATCAATCAGGTTGCTTGGTAGCATATAACAATTCAAATACATTTGGTGTCTTGTAAGTAGTGGGGGGAAAGGATGGTAGTGAGCATGAATAGTTATTGTGTTATTCATTAATCTGATTAAAGGAAATCAAAATAGTGGCCTTTTAGAGTTTGCAGAACACAGCAGCTTGGTTGGCATGAGAATAGTGAAGCTCAAACTAGCCAACTGGCTTTTAATTAATGTGTCACTGCTCAGTTTACAGTTCAATGTATTTTGCAAACTTCAACATTGAATATTCAAATGTGATAACAACAAATGTGACCTGGAATATAGAGTGTGTTTGCACAACATTCGTAACTATGGATAATTTAATGAAGGTATATTCAACATTGGTTTAATTGAATATACCTTCATTAAATTATCCATGGTTACAAATGTTGTGTAAATACACCCTATATTCCAGGTCACCTTTGTTGTTATCACATTTGAATATTCAGTAATGTTATTTTATTTGTGATATTATCAAGTGATGTACAGATATCATTACACTCACGCTAAACATAAATAATATCGTATGTCCAAGTATTTGCCTCACTCACTCCTTATTCAATCACATACATTTCATCTAAAAGCCCTTTCGATTAATTCTTACCTATATCCTACACAAAAACCAGTCTCTGGTCTCATACATTACACCAAGCATAATATTAATTGAAAAGAATATTTGTAGCTCAGGGCTGAATTGTTGTTATTTTCTTGCAGACATTTGATTACCCAACTAAGTAACATCAACAGTGCTAAAAGAGAGTGCAATTTGCTCTCATTATGTTACAGCAGGGCTTTTCAACCTTTTCACCCATTGTACCACTTTTAGGATATGGCAATATCCGAGTACCACCAGTCACCTAGCAAGGTGTCAAAAACTTGATGACCAAAAAAAAGAGGAAAAAAGTGATAAAGTACAGGTAGTCCTCGACTTACAACAGTTCGCTTAGTGACTGTTCGAAGTTACAAGGACATGAAAAAAGTGCCCCCCAAGCCACAGCCGAAGAAGGCACCTGCCTGCCCACCCGGTGGCGCTCTTCCTCCTGTCTGAGGTTTTCATGGTTGTGAGCATTTCTGTTGAGAATTGGCAGCGGGGATGGGGTGGGGGGGTGTTTGGTTTTTATTCCCCCCGTCTGCTGGGTGGTTGCAGCAGGTTTTGGTCACTTCACATGACCCTGGGACACGGTGACCATCATAAATATGAATCAGTTGCCAAGCATCTGAATGTAAATCACAAGACCCTGGAGATGCTGCAACATTCCAGCTGATCGGCGCTTCTTGGCTCAGCATAAGCGTCAGGATCAGTGCTGCTTTCCAGCTGGAGCCTGGCGCTGATCCTGGCGCTTCCGCTGAGCCCTGACAGCCCTGCAGCTCCAGCCGTCTCTCGCTCAGGCTTGTGTGGTGCTGTCACCGATTCAGCTCATTCCCCTCCCCCGCTACCACTTTTCTAGGATGGTCGCGTACCACCTGCCAGGTGCCAATGTGCCACAGGTGGTACCCGTACCACGGGTTGAAAAGCCCTGTGTTATAGGACTGATGATGTTACCTAGTAATGAAACATCTGCAAGAAAACCACCAAGCTCAGAGATCACCAAGAACCCCACAACCATAGGATTACTTATTTGATTCTGATATACAATAATTCATACAATATGCTACAGTATGATTGATCAATCGCCCATAGCTGGCTGATTTTACGTCATGCTAAACTGTAAATAAACTAACCATATCACATCTTAGTTCCTTGTGACCCCAACAGCTTTGTCAACTATAGTTTATGTATGTGTATTTTCCAGTTGGACTTCTGAACAACTCTAGGTAAATTCAACTAACAACTTTCGTTTAGTGACTGTTTTAACATTACAACAGCCCTGAAAAAAAGTGATTTATAAAAGTTTAACACACTTACAACATCCCTGTGGTCACATGATCAAAACACAGATGCATGGCAACTTGTTCATATTTATGACGGTTACAGTGTCCCAGAGATATGTGATCACCATTTGCAAACTTCTGATAAGCAAAGTCAATGGAAAAGCCAGATTCACTTAACAACTGTGTTACTAAATTAACGGTGGCAGTGATTCACTTAACAACTGCAGCAGGAAAGATCATAAAATGGGGCAAAAATCACTGAATTGTCTTGCTTAGCAACAGAAAATCTGGGCTCACTTGTAATCAGAAGTCGAGGACTACCTGTACATGCTAAAAAATATATAATAATACCGCAGTATTAAAAAAAGATTAAATTAGATTTCCCAAATAAAAGCCTCATTAGTAGAATTGCCTTGGTGGGTCCTTTTAAGTAGTAACTCTGAGAGGGATCTCGGAGTCCTAGTGGACAATCCCTTAAATAGGAGCCAGCTGTGTGCTGCAGCTGCCAAAAAAGCCAATACAGTGCTGGGCTGCATTAACAGAGGGAGAGAATCAAGATCACATGAAGTATTAATACCACTTTACAAGGCCTTGGTAAGGCCACACTTGGAATACTGCATGCAGTTTTGGTCACCACGATATAAAAAAGATGTTGAGACTCTAGAAAGAGTGCAGAGAAGAGCAACAAAGATGATCAGGGGACTGGAGGCTAAAACATACAAGGAACGGCTGCTGGAATTGGGTGTGTCTAGTCCAGGGGTAGGCAACCTTGGTTCTTTTATGACTCGTGGACTTCAACTCCCAGAATTCCTGAGCCAGCATAGTTGAAGTCCACGGGTCATAAAAGAGCCACGGTTGCCTACCCCTGGTATAGGGTTTCCTGCCTGAGCAGGGGGTTGGACTAGATGACCTCCAAGGTCCCTTCCAACTATCCTACCCTACCCTACCCTATCCTGCCACACCCATGACAGGAGGGTGAAAAGATGCCTGGCTCAACCCCCTCCCCCCCCACCGCACCCCCGTTGTGGAAACCAGGGCTTCAAATGATACGTGGACCCTGAAGCCAAAGGGCCAAGGAAGGCCTGTGCCCCAGATCTGGCAGCCCTTCAGGCTCAGCATTATGGGCTTCGGGGTCAGTCTCGCTCTCTTGAGGCTGGCCTACCTCGCAGGGCTGCCGTGAGGGAAAAAGAGGGGCGTGGGGTGGGGGGGAAGGAAACCTCGGAGGCTTGAGGGAAATGGGGGGGTGGGATACCCCCCTACTAGCTGACTGGTGAAACAGGCCGCCTCAGACACCCCCTTTCCCACGTGCCCCCCAACTTCCCCCCCATATCAAATTGGCTCCCTCACACGACCCTCCCCCACCTTTCCTGTCAGCCTGGCTTCCCCTCCACCTCCCCACAAGCCCCACCCACCGCTCGCGCTTCCCATAATTCCCCCCCCTCCCTCCGTCTACCTGCTGCGGTTGAAGCGCCTCGCTTTTTCCCCTCCCTGGTAATATTTGGGACCCTCTCACCGGCCGCCGCACTGACAGCCAATGGTCGGCAAGGGGAGGCGGGTGCTGTTCTGCTTTCGGATCCAATCAGCGGCCAGTAGGGCGGTTGGCAACACCGCCGAGGGTGGTTGTCACTCTCGCTCTCTCTCCCGACGTTTTCCTTCTTGCCCAATCGCCGCAACTAAGTTAGGTTGAGAAAGCTCGACGTTTTGGATGCTTTTGACGCTCCCACCTGCGGGGGGGAGGGAGGGTTGTTTACATCCGGGTCTCAAAGGAGGAGGAGGTGCTTGACGTGTTGCAGCCGGTGCTGAGCGAGCCAATGGGATTCGGGGTTGTCGGATACGCGTAAGCCACGCCCACCAGTGACGAAAGGGAAGGTTGTTTACCGCTTTCCACTTGGGAAGGGGCAAACTGAGGACGAGGCGTGTGACGTCAGGCCGCGGCTGATGCAATGACGCAAACAGTAAAGCGCTTTCAGGACATGTAGAGATAGAAAAGTGTAGAGAGGGACAAATGGTTATTTGACAAAGTACCTTTTTAAAAATCAGGGCCATAAGCTTATGAAAAGGTCTTAATTTTCACAAAATTAAGGGCTCTTAATTAATAAAATTAAGGGCTGTTAATTCACAGAATTAAGGTCCCTTCCAACGCCGTTATTCTGTTTATATTTTTTTGGGGGGGTCTACTGATTAAGGTGCTGAATTAAAGAACCAGGGAGATCTAGTACAAGGGCAATTATAGCCCCTGTACAACCTGTGGACTTCAATTCCCAGAATTCCTGACCCTGCATTAGAGACAGTAAAATAAAAAGAAGAATCTTGAATTACGCAATATTTTGCACCGGTACAGGTACTCCTTGACTTGTGACCACATTTGAGCCCAAAATTTCTTGTTGTTAAGCAAGACAGTGGTTGTGAGTTTTTCCCCATCTTACGACCTTTTGCCACAGTTGTTAAGTGAATCACTGCATTTGTTAGGTAATAATTCTGATAGAAAGGAAATGCATGCTATGTGGTCTGTTCTAAAGAGTGAATCTTTGTCAAAAGATGTCTGTGGAGATTTTCAGTCATCCAGGTCATCGTTATCCCGACTTTTCATTAAGCAAATTGTTTTCCCCGTTGAACTGCTTGTCAGAAGCTGGCTGGGAAGGTCGCAAATGGAGATCACATGACTCGGGGTGCTGCGACCATTGCATTTTCATGCTGGATGACTAGCTGGTGGGGAATGGAAGGATTTATACTCCTTGCAGACAGCTGGTCATTTGCATCCTTTTAGAAAGTCGTTGAGGTCACCTGGAGGTTTACCTGTGTCCACAGGGTCACCTGAGTAGTGCTTCTTGGCTGGAGGATGTTTTCTGCCCTGTGTCCCTCTTCAGTCAGAGCTGAAGAAACTTCTTGTATGAGAAGCAAAACGTCTTCAAAGAAAAACAAGAAAGTCTAGTTGCCTCCTGAAAAAACACCTTTGGGACTTCGTCAAAAGAAGTAAACAGAAGGCTATAGTATAATAGCATGTTTGCCCATTCTATGGATGTCCGATGAGCGCATGAGAAGGACCATTGAATTAAGTTGGATATACAGGTAGTCCTCCATTTACAACCACTCATTCAGTGACCATTTGAAGTTACAGCACTGAAAAAAATGACTCACAACTCATCCTCACAGTTACAACTGTCACAGCATCAGGTGATCAAAATTCAGGTGCTTGACAAACGGCATGAAAATGCAACGGTCACAACACCCCGAGTCATGTGATCTCCATTTGCGACCTTCCCAGCCAGCTTCTGACAAGCAGTCAATGGGGGAAGCTGAATTTGCTTAATGACTGCCTGATTCACTTAACAACTGCAGTGACTGGCTTAGCAATTGGGGCAAAAAAAAGGTCATAACATCGGGGGGCAACTCAGGTCATATCCACCTTGCTTAGCAAGCCGAAATTCTGATCCCAATTGAGGAGCACTACCTGGATTGGAAATGAGCATAAGAAAAATAAATGGGGATAAAAGAAGATTGTCAGCGTGGAACAATCAATGAATGATGGTGGGTTGAATTCAAATCTCAGCAATCAGTACCAAAGAAATCCACTGAGGTGGTTTAATCAGAGAGAATGAATATGGATGGTTCCTAATGGAACTCATGGTGGAAAGGAACAGAGAAGATCCTGGAAAAAAAGTATTTTGTGTAAGCAATAGCAATAGCATTTAGACTTATATATTGCTTCACAGTGCTTTACAGCCCTGTCTAAGCAGTTTACAGAGAGAGACAGACAGAGATTGATAGTAGACAGACAGATGAATGAGAGATAAATAGACGATAGATAGATAGATAGATAGATAGATAGATAGATAGATAGATAGATCAGTGATGGCGAACCTATGGCACGCGTGCCAGAGGAGGCACTCAGAGCCCTCTGTGGGCATGCGTGCTGTTGCCCCAGCCCCGCCTCCCCTGCAGCCCCTCCTCACCAGCATCCCCCCTGGAGGAGAGTCGCCCCCGAGCATGGACCACGTGGAGCAGCACAGCCAAGCACATAGCAGCCAGGCAGCGGGGCAAGACTCTGCCCTCACGTCCCGTCGCACACAGATGATGCACGGAGTGCGTGGCCACCATGGCGCTGCTGGTTCGCCTGGGCGATCTGTGATGGGCCGTGGAGGCGGTGAGTGGCCCTGCGGGCGGGCGGGGTGGGGGTGGGGCAGGGGGCGGGCAGTTTTGGGGCACTCGGTCTCTAAAGGTTCGCCATCACTGGGGTAGATAAACAGACAGACAGAGACAGATTGAGATAGGTTTTTTTCTTTCTGGCTTTATAGTGTTGAAGTTTTTTTCTTCTTTTTTGTATATTACAGAAATAATTTCTTTTAAAAAAAACGGTTATGGGAAACCTGGGCTGCAGCTATGTTTAAAAATAGTTTAAAAAAAAAACAAAAAACCCAGAAAGCACCAGGCAGGTTTTTAGCCATTTTATTTTATTGTAGGTATACAACGACAACATATGCAAAGAAAAACTAGAAAACTATCCCAATAACTTAAAAACGTTAAATATGCCATCAATGGTTGGAATAGTAAAATGTCTCATGCGTCCATAAAGGAAGGTATATCATAATTCCAAGTATATCACCAAAAGAGAACTTCAAAAAGCAGCCCCCAGAAATTGGGAGCCCAAGTGATGGAGAAAAACTTTTTTTTAGCTAAAATACTGGCCCTTTGTCTTAACAAACAAACAAACGGTCAAAAACCAAATGCAAATACAGCTAGACCTAAGTACGGCATAGCATCTTAATTAATTAAAACACAGAACCCAGCATAAAACGGTTATAAAGGCTCAACATCTTTTCAGCGTACATTTCATTCTGAATAGAGAAATCTAAAAGTTAATAAAAAGGAAGAATATAGACCTTCTATTATATTCTCTAATAGGGCACATTCCAGGCAAAATTTTATTAAGGACTACGAAAATACGTTATCTTCCGTTCTGTTTAATAATTTACTTTCGTTAAAAAGCTGTAAGGTCATCACAGAAAGTTTTTACAAATTCATTTACTTTGTACTAAATTAACCTCCTCCCCAACCATTTAAAAACAACAACAACAACCCAGCATCCAAACACAAGTTTTATATTGTTTTGTTATTTTTACCTTTGTTGTAACAATAAATGCAAGAACCCAGAGAAGGAGACTACAAGTTGTATGAAGGGATATAAATTTACGCATATATATATATGTGTGTATATATATTTTACAGCAACCTCTTTAATCTCCTAAGAAAGTCTACAAAGTTATATTACAAGGGGGGGGGTTTTCAAAGGTTGGGATAAAGCTGTCTGAATTCACCCACCTTCTTCGACATTAAAAAATAATAATGATGGGGAGGGGGTGTTTAAAAAAAAATTGTGAGTAGAGAACAGAATCGCAGCTTCAAATTAATCTGCAAATCTCCAGATGTGGGTGGAATTCTGGACGAGAGAGAGAGAAGCTTCAGCAAACACACAGAGCTTTCCTAGGTTGATGGAATAAGGGGCTCCCCAACTTTTTCTGTCCACGTACGCTTCGGCGGATGGCCAGCCTGTTGGTGTTTTTATGCTGGGAGGTGGAAGAGAGGCTTTCGGGCTGCCCCCCAAGGTTTCGGGCCAGGCCGCGTTTAGGTTTCTTTACCAGAGGCCCCGAGTTGGATTCTTCCAATGTCCTTTTGAAGCTGGCCACCGGTGGAGTCCTCTCTGGTTCCTGTACTTTGGGCGCATCACTCGGGGAGACCTTGACCGATTTGGGGTCTGGACCCACATTCCTGGCGTTGGAGGGAGACAGAGTCCCCGGTGGGTTTTGACCGTACGAGTCATGTGCCCACAGTCCAGGCGCGTTGCTGCCCTTCTCGTCCAGCGGCACTACCTCTCTCGAGCAAGCTGCGTCTAAACCATCGTTGTCCTTCGTCAGCTCGTCGAGTTGCTCCGGAAGTCTGCCCGACACGGTGGCATTGCTACAGGAGAATAAAGGGAGGCCTTCCGAGGAACTAAACCGGGGCCACACATCATCTTCTACGACCTAATGGGATTTAAAAAATAATAATAATGAAGAACACAGTTTTCCATTTCAAAAATTCCTTTCAGTTTAAAGAAAAGAAGGACCAGGGGGTGATACGATAGCAACGTTCCAATATCTGTCACAGGGAAGACAGGGCCAACCTATATCTCCAAAACATGTGAAGGCAGGTATGTAGCTTGCCTACATGCAGCGGTCCTAGCAACTGCGGATGGACGGCATAAATTCTGGGGCATGTCAGAAACTATTGTGGCTCTGTCCATCCTGGAACTGATGATGTCACCTAGTTGGGTCATGAAATGTCTGCAAGAAAACCACCCAAAACCCTAATCAAAGATGATTAGGGGGCTGGAGGCTAAATATATATGAAGAACAGTTGCAAGAATTGGGTATGTCTAGTCTAGTGAAAATGATAGCAATCTTCCAATATCTCAGGGGCTGCCACAAAGAAGAGGGAGTCAAGCTATTCTCTAAAGCGCCTGAAGGCAGGACAAGAAGCAACGGATGGAAACTGATCAAGGAGAGAAGCAACCTGGAACTAAGGAGAAATTTTTTGACAGTTAGAACAATTAACCAGTGGAACAACCTGCCTCCAGAAGTTGTGGGTGCTCCAACACTGGAGGTTTTTAAGAAGAGATTGGGCAGCCATTTATCTGAAGTAGTATAGGTCTCCTGCTTGAGCAAGGGGTTGGACTAGAAGACCTTTCCAACCTTAATCACAGTTGTAAATCTTACTTTCACCCACATCCCCATGATCTGCCTTGTGAAACCCATTCAGACGTGCCGGGATTGCAACTGCCAGAATTGTGAAACAGACTTCATGACAGAATTCTTAATAGAGAAATCGAAAAAGTTAATAAAGTAAGAAAAATATTCTCTAATAGGGCACATTCCAGGCAAAACGTATTAATTACGAAAATACGTATCTTCTGTTCTGTTTAATAATTTATTTTGTTAAAAAAAATTGGGAGTTGATCCCAGGAAGTTTATACAAATTCATTACTTTGTACTGAATTGACCCCTCCCAACCATTTAAAAAAAACAACAACAACATGCAAACCCAAAATTCCTTCAGCCCGCCTTGCCGGGAATTCTGAGGGTTTCAATCTCCAAATATTTTTGAAGAAATCAAATTGGAAAGGGCTGCAACTGATTTGAGAGAGATCGATTTGGTAAATGAGTTCATATTGACCCGCACTTTTCGGTTCTCCAGCGTGAATCCTTATGCAATCAAAATGGCATGATCCACATACTGAGCCCAAAATTTCCGTTGCTAAGCAGACAGATGTTAAATGAGTTGTACCTTTTAATAACCAATCACCAGGAGACGGTGAATTCTAGTCCCGCCTTAACCATGACAGCCATCTGCGTGACTTGGGCCAATCACTAGGAGACGGTGAGTTCTAGTCCCGCCTTAGCCATGAAAGCCATCTGGGTGACTTGAGCCAATCATCAGGAGATGGTGAGTTCTAGTCCCGCCTTAGCCATGAAAGCCATCTGGGTGACTTGGGCCAATCATCAGGAGATGGTGAGTTCTAGTCCCGCCTTAGCCATGAAAGCCATCTGGGTGACTTGGGCCAATCATCAGGAGATGGTGAGTTCTAGTCCCGCCTTAGTCATGAAAGCCATCTGGGTGACTTGGGCCAATCACCAGGAGACGGTGAGTTCTAGTCCCGCCTTAAGCCATGAAAGCCATCTGGGTGACTTGGGCCAATCACTAGGAGACGGTGAGTTCTAGTCCCACCTTAGCCATGAAAGCCATCTGGGTGACTTGGGCCAATCACCAGGAGACGGTGAGTTCTAGTCCCGCCTTAGCCATGAAAGCCATCTGGGTGACTTGGGCCAATCATCAGGAGGCGGTGAGTTCTAGTCCCACCTTAGGCATGAAAGCCATGTAGGTGACTTTGGGCCAATCATCAGGAGACAGTGAGTTCTAGTCCCACCTTAGGTATGAAAGCCATCTGGGTGACCTGGGCCAATCACCAGGAGATGGTGAGTTCTATTCCCGCCTTAAGCCATGAAAGCCATCTGGGTGACTTGGGCCAATCACCAGGAGACGGTGAGTTCTAGTCCCGCCTTAAGCCATGAAAGCCATCTGGGTAACTTTGGGCCAATCATCAAGAGATGGTGTGAGGCATGAAAGCCAGCTGGGTGACATTGGGCAAGTCCCTCTCTCTCACCTCAACCCACCTCACAGGGTTGTTGTGTGGGAAAAATAGAAGGAGGAACATGTGTTGGACACTTTGACACCAATGGCCTCTCTGACCCCTCTTTCGAACCAGTGGTCCTCCCTGTCCAGAATGTGGACTTTGCTGTCTTTGAAAGAGCGGCCTTCGTCTCTTAAATGCAGATGGTCTTCTGAACCTTGAACTGATGGATTTGTTCTCCCATGTTGTGCCATGCGCTTGTGAAGAGGTTGTTTTGTTTCCCCAATGTACAGATCTGCACACATCTCACTGCATCGTACTGCATATATCACGTTGCTCAGTTTGTGTCTGGGTGTTTTATCCTTCGGGTGGACAAGTTTCTGCTTTAGTGCACTTTCAGGTTTGAAGTGTGTACAGGTAGTTCTCAACTTACGACCACAATTGAGCTCAACATTTCCATTGCTAAGTGAGACATTTGTTAAGTGAGTTTGGCCCCATTTTACCACCCTTCTTCCTATGGTTGTTAAATGAATCGCTGCAGTTGTTACATTAGTAACACGGTTGTTAAGTGAATCGGGCTTCCCCGTTGACTTTGTCAGAAGGTCGCAAAAGGCGGTTACATGACGCCGGGGCATTGCAACCGTCATAATTAGGAGTCAGCTGCCAAGTGTTCGAATTTTGACCACGTCACCATGGGGATGCTTCAACGGTCGTAAGTGTGAAGAATGGCCATAAGAGCCGTGGTGGCACAGTGGTTACAACACAGTACTGCAGGCTACTTCTGCTGACTGACGGCTGCCAGCAGTTCGATCCTGACTGGCTCAAGGTTGGCTCAGCCTTCCGTCCTTCCGAGGTGGGTAAAATGAGGACCCAGATTGTTGGGGACAAATATGCTGACTCTGTAAACCGCTTAGAGAGTACTATTAAAGCACTATGAAGCAGTATATAAGTCTAAGTACTATTGTTATTCTTCCTTCCTTCCCTCTTTCCCTTCCTTCTTTTTCTCCCTCCCTTTTCCCCTTCTTTCCTTCCTTCCTTCCTCCCTCCCTCCCTCCCTTCCTTCCGTCTTCCCTTGTCAGGGTGGAGCAGTGGTTAAAATGTGGTATTGCAGGCTGACTCTGCCCACTGCCAGGAGTTCGATCCTGACCGGCTCAAGGTTGATTCAGTTTTCCATCCTTCCAAGATCGGTAAAATGAGGACCCAGATTGTTGGGGGCAAATAGGCTGACTCTGTAAACCGCTTAGAGAGGGCTGTAAAAAGCACCGTGAAGCAGTATATAAGTCTAAGTGCTATTGCTATAAGTCACTTTTTTCAGTGCTGTTGTAATTTCGAACTAAATGAATTGTAAGTCAAGGACTACCTCTACCGTGTTTCTCCGAAAACAAGACCCACTTATATTTTTTTTACTTCTAAAAGAGGCACCTGGTCTTATCTTGGGGGCATGTCTTACCCGCTTAAGTTAGGTCCGCCGTAGCCAGGCCTCCCAGACCCCGGCACCTGTTGTTGTGCCACTGCTCGACTTCTGCAGCCAGTGCGATGTGTCATGCGGCCTCTGGCTGCGAGCAGTGGCACCGGCACAACGTGCCACGTGGCATCCAGGTGTGAGCGGCGGAACCAGCGCCACGCAAACTCCAGCCGCGAGTGGTGGCACCGGCACCACGCAGCCTCCTGCCATGAACGGCGGCAACGGCACCGCGCATCACCTGGCCTCCTGCCGCGAGCGGCGGAACCAGTGCCATGCGGGGTCTTGCAGCGAATGGTGGCAACAGCACAATGCGCCACCTGGCATCCGGTCGCAAAAGAAGTCGGGTAGAGGCGCGACAGGTGCCGGGCATGGGAGACCTAGCTGCGGCGGTCCTAAGGTAAGTGGGTGCAGGGCGCGTGGGGCAGCTCCATCCCCCCCATCCCTGCCCTAGCTTGATTTTTATGTGTGAGCCTCACCCCACCTTGTACAAGCAGACTGTGGGGAGGAGTGGGCGGGTCTTAACTAGGGCTTATTTTGGGGGTAGGGCTTATATTCGGCGCACATGTCAAAATCAAGTGAGGGTTTATTTTCGGGATAAATCTTATTTCTGGGGAAATGCAGTAGGCCAGTGGTGGCGACCCTATGGCACGTGCGCCAGAGGCGGTACTCAGAGCCCTCTCTGTGGGCATGCATGCTGTCACCCCAGCCCCGCCTCCCCTTGTGGCTCCCTCCTCACCAGCAGCCCCCCTGGAGGAGAGTCGCCCCCCGGGCGCGGCCCACACAGAGCAGTGCAGCCAAGGACATGGCAGACGGGCAGCGGGGACAAGACTCCACCCTCGCGCTCCGTCGCGCACAGTTGATGCTACGGGGGGTGGGTGGAGGGTGTAGTTGCCATGGTGCTGCTGGTCCGCCTGGGCGATCTGCAGTGGGCCGTGGAGGCGGTGAGTGGCCCTGCGGGTGGGCGGGCAGGGCGGGGACGAGGGGTGGAGCAGGTGGGACGGGGACGGGCTGGTTTTTGGGCACTCGGTCTCTAAAAGGTTCGCCATCACTGCAGTAGGTATATTGTGTTATGCCTATCAGTACCTATCCTTACATACACACACACGTGCGCGCGCCCTCATAACTGATGAAGCTTCTTGGATGAGAAGCAAAACTTGTCCCACCTGAAGGCAGGACAAGAAGCAACGGATGGAAACTCATCAAGGAGAGAAGCAACGTGGAATTAAGGAGAAATTTCCTGACAGTCAGAACAATTAACCAGTGGAACTCCTTGCCTCCAGAAGCGGTGAATGCTCCAACACTGGAAGTCATTAAGAAGAGACTGGACAGCCATTTTTCTGAAATGGTATAGGGTTTCCTCAGGACTAGATGACCTCCAAGGTCCCTTCCAACTTTATTATTATTGTTGTTGTTATTGTTGTTGTTGTTATTATTATTATTATTATTATTATTACTATTACTACTACTACTACTATTATTATTATTATTATTATTATTATTATTATTATTATTATTATTATTATTATTATTATTATTATTATTATTATTATTATTATTATTATCTCCAAGCAAAACAGAGAACAGTCCAGTTGCCTTTTGAGGGAAAAAAAGCACCTTTGGGATAGCTGTGACCTGGATGACTGAGAATCTCACAGACACACCCAAAACAAACTCACACAAAGGGACGCCAGCTGAGGAGCTATTTACATTTATTCTCCTCCACGACAAGGGTATCTCTTTTGCCCCCGGGCCATTACTCTGACCGGTCCGAGGCCCCACCGCCTCCTTCTGCCCCGGCTTGGCACCCCTTTGCCTCTCCTTCTACCCAGACAGGTTTTCTGCAAGAGAGAGGGCACCAAGTTACGAAGAGGATACCGCATGGCGAGGTCCCACGTGGCCGGATGCATCCCAGCACAGCTGGTTTCCCTCCCCCCCCAGTCCCATCCCTCCTGGCCTCGCATATTCTCCTTTTCGTGGGCACGGCCCACTGCATTGCCTCCTCAACTGTCGGCCGGCCGTCCAGCTCAGAGGCGGCTTCTCTGAACTGCTGGGAGCGGGCTGCAAAGCCCCCGAGTGCGCCGGTTGAGGGGCTGGCAGGCTGTGGCTGCTGACGGACACTGTTGGCCCCCATGCACTCTCTGGCCTCGGTGTGCAGGGGCTGATGGTGTCAGGCAGAAGCCGCCCCGGACCCTGCCTCACCTTGCCCTGCGACAATGGCACCCCCGCCCTGCCTCGCCTTGCCTCGCCTCCCCCCGCAGGACGAGCCTCCTGCCCACCGCCCCACCTGTCAGAGACCCCCCAGAGCTCCCCCCAACCCTGCCTGGCCCCCACAGGCGTCCCTCCACACAAGCAACATTGAGGTGACCACGCCTACCTTGGCCACACCCACCCAGTCTGCCATGACCACCACAGCCACCCACCCAGTGGGCCACGCCCACCCGGCATCCGGCAATAAATAAGTGGGTTTGGGGTTGCAGTTTGGGCACTCGGCCTGTAAAAGGTTCGCCATCACTGCACTAGGGTTTTATAAAGCGGTACTAATACTTCACGTGATCCTGGATTCTATGCTTCTGTTTATACAACCCAGGATTGTATTAGCTTTTTTGGCTGCTGCTGCACACGGCTGGCTCATGGTTAAGTGATCGTTCAGTAGGACTCCAAGATTCGTTCATTCATTCATTTAATTTCTATAGCTTACTAACTCAACCAAGGAAGCCGCTTTAATTCTAAAATGGCAGGTGATGACTCAACTACTGGTTATTTTTGAATACAGACAGTCCCCCACTTGCACCCATTCGTTTAACGACCCTTCAAAGTTACCACGGCACTTTAAAAAGTGTCGTATACAACCGTCGCAGATCCCCGTGGTCACGTGATCAAAATTCGGACCCTTGGCAACCAGCATGTATTTAACAAAAGTTGCAGCATCCTGGGGGGGGGGTCAAGGTGATCAACATCTGCATCCTTCCCAGCCGGCTTCCAACAAGCAAAGTCAATGGGAAAAGCTGGATTTGCTTAACAACTAGACAATTCACTTAACAACTGCAGTTCTTCGCTGAACAACCCTGGCGAAAAAGATCTTAAAATCGGATGCTACTCACTTAACAACTGCCTTGTTTAGCAACAGAAACTCTGGTCCCAAATGTGGTGGTAGGTCAAGGACTACCTGAAGTCCTTTTAATGTCGCTATGCATAAAATAAGCTGGGCTTTTTCTTCCAAAATGCACTTAAAACCGTAAGTGGGAAAATAGCAATAGGACTTAGACTTATATACCGCTCCATATTGCTTTATAGCCCTCTCTAAGCGGTTTACGGAGTCAGACTATTTGCCCCCAACAATCTGGGTCCTCGTTTTACCCACCTCGGAAGGATGGATGGCTGAGTCAACCTTGAGCCAGTCAGGATCGAACTGCTGGCAGTGGGCAGAATTAGCCTGCAATACTGCATACTAACCATTGCGCCACCATGGCAAGGAAGGAGGGAAGGAAGGAGGAAGGGAAGGAGAAAAGGGAGGGAGAGAAAGAAGGAAGGAGGGAAGAAAGAATAACAATAGCACTTAGACTTATATACCGCTTCACAGAACTTCACAGCCCTCTCTAAGTGGTTTACAGAGTCAGCCTATTTGCCCCCAACAATCTGGGTCCTCATTTTACCGACCTCAGAAGGATGGAAGGCTGAGTTGACCTTGAGCCGGTCAGGATCGAACTTCTGGCAGTGGGCAGTGTCAGCCTGCAATACTGCATTCTAACCACTGTGCTACCATGAGAAGGAAGGAAGGAAGGAGAAAAGTGAGGGAGAGAAAGAAGGAAAGGAAGGAAGCAATAGCAATAGCACTTAGACTTATATACCGCTTCACAGTACTTTACAGCCCTCTATGAGTGGTTTACAGAGTCAGCATATTTTCCCCCAACAATCTGGGTCCTCATTTTACCGACCTTGGAAGGATGGAAGGCTGAGTCAACCCTGAGCCAGTGAGAATCGAACTGCTGGCAGCCGGCAGTCAGCAGATATAGCCTGCAATACGGCATTGTAACCGCTGCACCACTACGGCTCTTTGTTGTCTATTTTTAACATCGTCTTAAAAGTTCTCAGCCCTTGAGCTTTTTTTTAAAAAAAAAAAATCACATTTTTACCTTGGCTGGTGGAGTTGAGCATTGGGAAGGGTTGATCGTCCATGTTTCAGGGCTGTTATACGAAGGTCCTTCGGCCAAGTTGAAGCATAGTTCCTCCTCGCTTTGCAGACAGCCACTCCAAGACCTCCGGCCAGAATATATGCTGATGACAATGGCGCTGGTGTTATCGGCACGAAGCATGCGCTGCTTCCACCGGGCCAGCGCTCGGTTGACCAGCATTTTAGCTAAGGACTGTTGATGTTCTCCCTTTGGGGTCAGACGCGGGGAAGAGAAGAAGAAGAAAAACGGAAATCACTAGTCTGAAAGGCTGCGGTAGGTACGACAGGTACACAAAATCTGTTTAAAATCTCTGCGCTGCCGCCGAAAATTGGAAACGATCTACATTGGCATATTTAGAGGATGCTTTAACCGGAGTGGCCTTCCCAGAATTCCCCAACCAGCACACTTTAAGAGGGGTGGACTTCAACTCCCAGAATTCCCCAGCCAGCACGGTTTAAGATGGGTGGACTTCAACTCCCAGAATTCCCCAGCCTTCAATTCCCAGAATTCCCCAGCCAGCATGCTCTAAGATGGGTGGACCTCAACTCCCAGAATTCCCCAGCCAGCACACTTTAAGATGGATGGGCTTCAGCTCCCAGAATTCCCCAGCTAGCATGCTTAAGATGGGTGGGCTTCCACTCTCAGAATTCCAATCAAGCTCCTGGCCAGAATTACTTATTCAAATCCCATCCCCTTTTTAGGCAAAATGTGGCCTTTTTGACCATCCCCTGCAAATACCTGTACGTGTGAATAATGCAGAAAGGGAGAATAACAGAATAAGAGTTGGAAGGGACCTTGGAGGTCTTCTAGTCCAGGGCTTTTCAACCAGTGGTACGGGTACCACCTGTGGTACATTGGCACCTGGCAGGTGGTACGCGACCATCCTAGAAAAGTGGTAGCGGGGGAGGGGAATGAGCTGAACCAGTGGCAGCACCGCACAAGCCTGAGCAAGAGACAGCTGGAGCTGCAGGGCTGTCAGGGCTCAGTGGAAGCGCCAGGATCAGCGCTTCTTTGGGACTGTCAGGGCTCAGTGGAAATGCCAGGATCAGCGCCAGGCTCCAGCTGGAGCTCGGTGCTGATCCTGGCGCTTCTGCTGAGCCCTGAAGAAGCACCAGTCAGCTGGAAAGCCGCACTGATCCTGGCGCTTCTGCTGAGCCCTGAAGAAGCACCAGTCAGCTGGAAAGCCGCACTGATCCTGGTGCTTCTGCTGAGCCCAGAAGAAGCGCCGATCAGCTGGAATGTTGCAGCATCTCCAGGGTCTTGTGATTTACATTCAGATGCTTGGCAACTGATTCATATTTATGACGGTCACAGTGTCCCAGGGTCATGTGAAGTGACCAAAACCTGCTGCAACTACCCAGCAGACAGGGGGAATAAAAACCAGACACCCCCACCCCCCCACCTCCGATGCCAATCCTCAACAGAAATGCTAGGCGACTGGTGGTACTCGGATGTTGCCATATCCTAAAAGTGGTACAATGGGTGAAAAGGTTGAAAAGCCCTGTTCTAGTCCAACCCTGAGAGCTCAGAGCAGGAAACCCTGTACCGTTTCAGACAAATGGTTGTCCAATCTCTTCTTGAAAACCTCCGGTGTTGGAGATAGTTAAGGAACCACAAACGTTGTATGCATATACAGATGTTTGTGAAGATAAGGGCACAGGATAATAGGAATAAGCACAAATTACTTGCTTGAATAAACAATATGGCTGGTCCTCAAATTAGAAATTATATGGTCATTTAATGACCATCTGAAGTTACAACAGCACTGAAAAAACTGACTTAGAACCGAAGTACCACCACGGTTACATGACCAAAATTTGGCCACTTGGCAACCAGCATGGATTTAAAAGGCTTGCAGTATCCCAGGATCATGTGATCACCATTTGTGATCTTCCCATCCAGTTTCCATCAAGCAATTCCATCAATGGCTGGAAACCAGATTCACTTAACAACTGCACGATCTGGACTTTCAGTTTGACGTCGCGGCGTAATGGACGAAGGTAGATGGGGCTCTGTCTTCTGCGTTTCGCCCCACTGGGGACCCTAAAAAGGGTCAAAAGTCACCCCGGAGAGGCGACGGAGGGGACCCTCGTTGATCGCAGAAGGGCGGCGGCCGTTTCATTTGATCCGAGGAAGCCCTCCAAACCGGCGGGGGAAAGACTGGCTACATTCATGTAGCCAGTCAGAAATAAGCACTAACAAGCAACTTTTGAGCAGCGTGGATGAAACTGGGTGAGACTCTATCCTCTCTTTATAACTTTAAGACTTTCCTGGAAAAAAACGCCCAAAACTAAAAGCGATAGAGACGGGATATTATATTAAACAGATATTTGAATACGGTTAAGAAAATAGATAACTGTTAGAAATAAAAGTATTATCGTAACTAGAAGGATAGGATTTCTAACTAGAATATTATATTTTGTTATGAGATGGGAAATATAAAAATTCTAAAAGGGTTTGAATAAGGGAAGCTTTTGGTTACCCAGATATAATATATTATGAGAAAATTATAAGTGATAAGAGATATTTTGAACATTGATGGGAAATTGATTTTTTTTTAAAAAAAGCGGGAAAAACAGGTTATTAATGGAACAAATGGATTTTTAGTACAAATGCACTTGAGATATGTTTTGGCTAGAAAAGATATTATAAACTGACATTATAGATATTATGTATAATACCAGAAAAATGCGATGAAGATGTCTATATTTAATTGTATATGTATTAACAGTAACAAGAATTGTATTTGCCCAGTGTCAAAAAATGCATACCACCGGAAGAAGAGAGGATCAAAGCAGCACTGGATGATGCAGTATTGGAACCACCTTGAGAAAGTTAATATGTACCACTGAATTACCAATGAACCCAGACAACACATTGTTTATTAAGTATGTGATTGTAAAATTAGAAAATTAATAAAATGTTTACCAAAAAAAACTGCACGATTCACCTAACAACCATGATTTGCTTAACAACGTGGCAAAAAGGTTGCAAAATCAGCCATAAACTCACTTAAGAACCAACTGAAATTCTACTCTCAAACAGAATTTAAAAGTTGAAGACTTCCGGTTATAACAATAAATGCCCCTAGTCTGGAAAATTATGTATGTGGATAGGTCCCTGACCCTTTCTACAGGTAGTCAATAATAATAATAATAAAATTGGAAGGGACCTTGGAGGTCATCTAGTCCAACCCCCTGCTCAGGCAGGAAGCCCTATACGATTTCAGACAAATGGCTGTCCTTGACTTACAACAGTTCATTTAGTGACCGTTCGAAGTTACAACGGCACTGAAAAAAGTGATATATGACCATTTTTCACACTTACGACCGTTGCAGCATCCCCAGGGTCACATGATCAAAATTCAGACACTTGGCAACTGACTCGTGTTTATGACGGTTGCAGCGATCCCCTTTTGCGGCCTTCTGACAAGCAAAGTCCACGGGGAAGCCAGATTCGCTTAACCACCGTGTTCCTACACAACGACTGCAGTGTTTCACTTAACAACCGTGGTGAGAAAAGGGGTAAAACGGGACAAAATTCGCTCAACCATCTCGCTCAGTAACAGAAATTTGGGGCTCAATTGTGTTCATAAGTCGAGGACTACCCGTCTTCTCTTTCTCCAAAGCATAGAAAAAGATTCCGCCCTCGTCTATGAAAAAGATAAAGAGACAAAATACAAAATTTGAAACAACGCAAAGAAAAAAAGAGAAGTCCTGACAGCTTACCATAAAATACTTTTTCTCTTCGTGGTCCTGGCACATGGAAATAGCCTCCTGGGCGGGGATCATGTTCCACAGTCCATCGCTCCCCAAAATTATGTATTTATGCTTCTGAGGATCTAGCGTGTGTACACTCGTGTCCGGCTCTGGGGACACCACGAATTGCCCGCTGTAGAAGTCATAACTCCACAGGTCGCCTAAATAAAAGAGACATGGGTTTATTAAAATTACTCTTGCTCTTCTTCCAAATTATATTTCAAGAGTTCACTTTTGGTAAACGTTAATTCGAGTCCTTTCAGAATCCACCCGAGATTTCCCTCGTCTGGCCCATTGCAAGCACGACACTGGAAATCTGGTTTAAAATCTACATATTCTCCCAACATTTTTTCTAACCAGGTATGTATCTTTTTCCAATAATTCTTTACCTTATCACTTGTCCCCCAAACACGATAATACGTTCCTGAGTTCTTGTTTACATTTCCAACATCTATCTGACATATTTTTAAACATTTTTGCTAATCTTGCTGGTGGCAGGTGCCATCTATAACGATTAGGTATAATGCCAGAAAAGACTAACAAACAAAGCCCTATATTTGATTTTACACGTCACAACAGTGGCAAGAATAATATTTGCGCAATATTGGAAAAATGAAGGAAGACCACCAGATGAAGAAATAATTTAAAAAAATACTAGAATGTGCAGAGATGGACAAATTGACTATGAGACTGAAAGAAAAAGAAGAAACAGAATATTATCAAACTTGGGACTTATTTTACCGATGGTTAGAGGAAAGAATAAAGGATTAGGAATTAAATATGTATTAGCGTATTTAAACTCAGACAGCACGTTGGCTGAAAAATTATTATTGTATGTATGGAAAAAACTAATAAAATCTTATTTTTTAAAAAAAGGAAACTGGAGGTCTGGAGGATATTTGCTGGACAAAGCAAACTTCCCTGAAATATGAAATCTACCAGGCCAAGGAAGAAATGTTTCATTCGGACTTCTCTCTAACCTCTCATTTTTATGAATGAAGGCGATTTATGTTGCTAGCATCAAACAGCAAACTGCCAGCTCTTCTTCTTCATCATACTATTAGTTAAGGTGCTGGCTTAGAAACCAGGAGATGGTGAGTTCTAGTCCCGCCCTAGGCATGAAAGCCAGCTGGGTGACTTTGAGCCAATCATCAGGAGATTATGAATTCTAGTCCCGTCTTAGGCATGAAAGCGGGCTAGGTGAATTTAGACCAATCACCAGCAGACGGTGAGTTCTAGTCCCGCCTCAGGCATGAAAGCAGGCTGGGTGACTTTGGATCAATCATCAGGAGACAGTGAGTTCTAGTCCCGCCTTAGGCATGAAAGCGGGCTAGGTGAATTTAGACCAATGACCAGGAGACAGTGAGTTCTAGTCCCGCCTCAGGCATGAAAGCAGGCTGGGTGAATTTAGACCAATGACCAGGAGACAGTGAGTTCTAGTCCCGCCTCAGGCATGAAAGCAGGCTAGGTGAATTTAGACCAATGACCAGGAGACAATGAGTTCTAGTCCCGCCTTAGGCATGAAAACAGGCTGGGTGACTTTGGACCAATCACCAGGAGACAATGAGTTCTAGTCCCGCCTCAGGCACGAAAGCCAGCTGAGTGACTTTGGACCAATCACCAGGAGACAGTGAGTTCTAGTCCCGCCTCAGGCATGAAAGCCAACTAGGTGACTTTGGACCAATCAGCAGGAGACACTGAACACTAGTCCCGCCTTAGACATGAAAGTCAGTGGTTTTAATAGAGGGCATCCTAGTATTTTAACCACGATGCCCTGGTTAAAATAACCACTACTCAACCAGAAAGCCACATCTCCAGCAGAACTCAGGTGGCCTCTTGACCCAAACACCTGGAGCAGGGGTAGTCAACCTTGGCTCTTTTATGACTCGTGGACTTCAACTTCCAGAATTCCTGAGCCAGGTAAGCTTCCGAGTCCTAGGAAAAGCTAATTTGATCTCCGGGAGGGACACTGTTGCACAGGGCAAATTCAGCACACAGATGGCACCTTGGAACTGGCCCACCAGCCAAAGCTCAGCAAAGATTACCCCAACCATGGCTCCCACTCACTCTTGAAGGAGGCGAGTCCAGAAGGAACCCCAAATCACAAAACATCTCCCTCAGTCCCCAGAAGAAACCACGGTTGTCCAGAAGGAACCCCAAAGTCATGAATCATCTCCTTCACTTCACAGAAGAAATTTTGGGTTTCCCAAAGGAACCCCAGATACACACGAGTTTAAAATCAACGCCAGGTCTTCATTCAGGCTTCCATGTCACGTGAGCAAGCCCAACTCACATGAACACACAACGCTCCAAAGAATAAATCATAACCTGGTTTAATGGCACAGTAACCTGGCTCCCACGATACACTAACAGCTGGGTTCCTACAACCACAGGCAACCCTTGCACGAGGGGTTCGGTGTTCTTGCAGACGTGCTCGTATCGACCAGCCATTCACGCAGCCCGGTGGCAATTAGGCCACGGCCCACACATTTGGGACCCCTGCTCTAAACTGTAGCTTTGTCCAATGTGCTGTGTGAAATGCCGCAGGGTATCCTGATCTCTCACAAAATTGTTCTGCTAAAGCAGAGGTCAACAACCTTTGTCAGTTGGCGGACAGGAGGAAAGGGGAAGGGAAAGCATTTTACATGTGTGCACCGCAAACAGGGCGGGGCTAGTACCCGCGTGATACTCACTAGCCCTGCCCCATTTTTGTGTGGCGCAGCACGTTTCTGCGCCCTGCAGCACAGCACCTCGTTTCTGCGCCCTGCAGCGCAGCACCTCGTTTCTGCGCCCTGCAGCGCGGTGGCGGCCATTTTTGCGCCTTGCAGCACGGCTGTCATGGCTGCGACAGATGAAACCCTTCCAAAGAACTTGGAGGCATTGTTTACCTTAAAGAATCTTTTATTCGGGAAACAAAGTATCAGCACTACATAATCGGAACTCAAAAACTAAATTCCCCTCCCCTGGAAACAAAGTAACAAAGCGCAATTCCCTCCCCCAATAAACAGTCATAAATCACATTCCCCAATTAGCTTGAAGTGAAGGCTTTCTCCCCATTCGCCAAAATGCTATCAGCTCTGGTCCCAATGTCCTTGGGTTCCCACGGCTGAGTTATTATTGTTATGGCTAGCTGGGCTCTCATCCACATTCCCCCTCCCAGCATCAATTAACTCTAAAAGCAATAGAGATAATGGCTGCATTTCCATCTGTTGTCAAAGCAAGAACATCCGATGTTAGCAGCGTTGACAACGGCGGTGCCCAGTTTTTGCGCCCCGTGGCACAGTGGTGGCCCATTTCCACGCCTATTGCGTGGCATCGTCCATTTTTAAGCCTCGCAGTATGGCAGCGGCCTGTTTTTGTGGCCTGAGGCACAGTGGCAGCAGCCCATTTTTGCACCCCATGGCCACGGCGCTAGCACGTGAGGCGGTGTGTGCGCACACGCGTACACACCGGCAAGCCTGTCCCGCAGCCCAGTGGTCAGCAGGCCGCAGTCCAGTAGGTCCACAGGTTGGGAACCCATTTGCTAAAGAACCAACCAGCCATATCATCCCGCAGGACTCTCTTCCCTATCACCTTTTGCTGTGTCATCCCTGGTTTACCAAGTTACTTAGGGATGCTGACGGACATATGGGTCCCAAGGCTTTATTTTTAGAGGATTTCTGAACTTATACAGGTAGTCCTCGACTTACGACTACAACTGAGTCCAAATTCTGTTGCTAAGCGAGACAGCTGCTACGTGAGTTTGGCCCCATTTTATGACCTTTCTTGCAGCTATTGTTAAGTGAACCCCTGCAGTTGTTAAGTTAGTAACACGGTTCTTAAGTGAATGAGGCTTCCCCCATCGACTTTGCTTGTCAGAACGTTCCAGAAGGCGATCCCCCGGCACACTGCAACTGTTATAAATACAAGTCAGTTGCCAAGCATCTGAATTTTGATCACATGACCACGGGGATGCTGCAACGATCGGAAAACAGCCGTAAGTCACTTTTTTCAGCGCTGTTGTATCTTCAAAAGTAACGAACTGTTCTACGTCGAGGACTAGCCGCGTGAAGTCAAACTTCTGAAATGCTGGAAGGTCTCTTGTCCCCAGGTGGCACCTCAGTGGTCTCCTTGGCATGGACCGCCCGAGTCTCTTCCCAAAGTGGATCGAGGGAGCAGGTGGCACAATTTAACCAGGGATGGCAACGGGCTCGACTTGGGAATGAGCAAGCAGATCAAGCCTATAATTATACCTGGAGAATACACAGTGCCTGGAGCAGCCGCCAAGAACATGTCATCTTAATTGCATTCATTGGGCGGGTTGGATGCGCTTGAAGGCCCTAAGGCAGAGGTCACCAACCTTTGTTGGTTGACGGACCGGAGGAAAAGAGAATGAAAAGCATTTTGCGCACAGGGCCGCGAGCACGCATGTGCCGCAAACAGGGTGGGGCTTGCACCCGTGTGATACTCATAACCCTGCCCTGTTCGTGTGCCTTGTTTCTGTGCCCCGCACCTTGCAGTGCAGCGGCACCCCATGGCGCAGTGGCACCCCATTTCCGTGCCCCGCAGTGCAGCAGCAGCCCATTTTCACGCCCCGAGGTGCGGTTTCGGCATCCTGTTTTCGTGCTCCACGGTGCGGCGGCAGCCCATTTTTGCACCCCGTGGGTGTGGCATCCTATTTTTGTACCCCGTGGCCGCGGCGCTAGCACAAGTGAGGAGTGTGCGCGCACACGCGTGCTCACTGGCCAGCCTGTCCTGCGGCCCGGTGGCCAGCAGGCCATGCCCCACTACCAGGCCATGGCCCACAGGTTGGGGACCCCTGTCCTAAGGGGAGAGGAAGGAGAAGGAAAGGAGGAGGAGGAGGAGGAGGAGGAGGAGGAGGAGGAGGAGGAGGAGGAGGAGGAGGAGGAGAAGAAAAAAAGAAAGAAAGGAACCATGGACACAAAAACGTATGTTTTTCCTCTAGGATTTAGGCCAGAAAAGCAAGACCGAGGGAGAAATAAGTCCAACGGAAAACATCTCCTTTGGTCAGAGAAGGTGACCATGAATGGTAGGTTCCCATCACCAGAAAGGTTCAAAGCAAGGAAGGCAGGAAGGGGAGGTAAGACAGATGAGGTGGACTACAACACCCAGTTCAGGTACTCCTCAGCGTACAACCACAATTGAGCCCCAAAATTTCTGTTGGTAAGTCAGACATTTGTAAAACGAGTTTTGCTCCATTTTATAACCTTGCTTGCCATCGTTAAGTGGAGTCAATGCAGGTGTTGTTAGATTTCCCCCTTTACGACCTTCTGCCAAGCAAAGTCAAGGGGAGAAAGACAGATTCATTTAACAACCGTGTTGCTTACTTAACAATGGCAGCGATTTGCTTTACAACTGCGGCAAGAAAGGTCGTTAAAATGGGGCAAAACTCATTTAACAGTCTCGCCCAGCAACAGAAATGTTGGGCTCAGCTGCGGTCTTAAGTCGACAACCATCGAAGACAAACACCCTGCCTGTGAACCCCCAAATCTTTCAGCCGATCGTGGCATCCTTCCGTTAACTCTTCCTGGAGGCTACTCACCAAGGGCGCGGGCCACCGCCAAGAAGGGAATCTGGTCGATCACGGTGCTCCGTCGCACGGGGCCGTTGTGACTGAGACGAGGCCGTTTCCAGACCACCCGATTCACACCGGATTTATTGATCACACTAAAACAATTGGAGAGAACGAAGGCAGAAGGGGGAATTAAATCAAGCGGAGGAGTGGAAAGCCAAGTTTAAAAGAAACGAAAATTTGTTTGTACTAAATACATTTCTACAATTTATGACTCAAGGTGCTGGTTGATACCTATAAAGCCCTACCTGGCCTGGTTAACAGAGGAACTAATGATGATGATGATGATGTTGGAAGGGACCTTGGAGGTCTTCTAGTCCAACCCCCTGCTCAGGCAGGAAACCCTATACCATTTTGGCCAAGTCTTCCACATGTACAAGTAGTCCTTGACTTACAAAGATTCATTTAGTGGCCTGGAAAAAAGTGTACTTACGACCGTTTCTCACACAGCCGTTGCAGCACTCCCCATGGTCACGTGATCTAAATTCAGATGCTTGGCAACTGACTCGTATTTATGACGGTCGCAGCATCCTGGGGGGGTCACGTGATCCCCTTCTGCAACCTTCTGACAAGCAAAGTCATTGGGGCAAGCCGGATTCGCTTAACGACCGCGTGACTACTTTAACTGCATTGATTCATTTAACAACTGTAATAAGGAAAGTCGCCAAATGGGGCAAAACTCACTTAACAACTGTCTCGCTTAGCAACACAAGTCTGGGGCTCAACTGTGGTCGTAAGTCGAGGACCCCCTGTATTAAAATTCTGAGACTTGGGAAAATCTCCACCCAGGAAAGACACCACCTTAGGATTTGGATTCCACTTGCCATAAAAATGGTTCAGATGCTGAACTAAGCCATAATAACGACTTTAAGCAAGAACCTATTCAAATGTGGTTGCCTGAACAAACCGTGCGATAAAACCAGATACGCTTAACGCATGTGAGGTTAAAGAGAGACGCCTATTTATTATACAGGTAGTCCTCAACTTACAACCGTTTGTTTAGTGACCGTTTGAAGTTACAACGGCACTGAAAAAAGCGACTTATGACCGCTGCAGCATCCTCGTGATCACATAATTAAAATTCAGACACTGGGAAACTGGCATGTACTTACGACGGTTGCAGTATCCTGGGGTGATCTGATCCCCTTTTGCAATGGGGGAAACCAGATTGACTTAAAGCCATGTTACTGATTTAAATAACAGTGGGACTCAGTTAACAACTGTGGCAAGGAGGTCGTAAAATGGGGCAAAACTCACCTAGCTTAGCAACAGAAATTCTGGGCTCAATTTTAGTCGTAAGCTGAGGACTACCTATAAACAGGAAAAGCCACGTCTTGAACAAGCCAGTGAGATCTGTTACCTTCCCCCGAGGCCTTCGATCCGCTGCCTCTCCTTCGGTAGCTCCGGTTTGTGATCCTGCGTCACCTCCACGGCCCGGATATAGTCGTCCTTGGGGTCATCCTGGACTCCAATAACTACACCGGAGTCGCCAACGTGAGCCACGTACATCTTTGAGCCACGGATGATGACCACGCTGGCTGTCGTGCCTGACGTGCTTGGGAGACCCGTCATAGTTTTGGGCCATTCTGCTGCAAAGGGGGGGGGGGGAAATAATTATAAGTTATATATTAAATCAATCAATCAATCAATCAGTAAGTCAGCAAGGGAGCCAGTTCAATCTAGTCCCGGGGCAGGCCACCTTGGCTCTTTTATGACTCGTGGACTTCAACTCCCAGAATTCCTGAGCCAGCATGGCTCAGCATGGAAACCTCTCCCTTTCCCCTCAGCATGGCTGGCTCAGGAATTCTGGGAGTTGAAAGTCCACAAGTCATAAAAGAGCCAAGGTTGCCCACCCCTGAATTAGATGTACTCAATTCCTGCAACCGTTTGTATGTTTTAGCTTCCAGTCCTCTAATCAGTGCTTTTTTTCTAAAAAAAAGAAAAGAAAAAAGAAAGGTGCCAGAACTCACACACGTCATACAACCCACTTTGCCTACCCTACAAGGTTCCATCTAAAAAAGGTGCCGGAACTCCGTTCTGGGCGTTCTATGACAAAAAAAGCCCTGCCTCTAATCATCTTTATTGCTCTTCTCTGCACTCTTTCTAGAGCAGGGCTTTTCAACCTTTTCACCCATTGTACCACTTTTAGGATATGGCAACATCCGAGTACCACCAGTCGCCTAGCATTTCTGTTGAGGATTGGCAGCGGAGGTGGGGGGTGGGGGGTGTTTGGTTTTTATTTCCCCCCCCCGTCTGCTGGGTGGTTGCAGCAGGTTTTGGTCACTTCACATGACCCTGGGACACTGTGACCGTCATAAATATGAATCAGTTGCCAAGCATCTGAATGTAAATCACAAGACCCTGGAGATGCTGCAACATTCCAGCTGATCGGCGCTTCTTCTGGGCTCAGCAGAAGCGCCAGGATCAGTTCGGCTTTCCAGCTGATTGGTGCTTCTTCAGGGCTCAGCAGAAGCGCCAGGATCAGCGCCGAGCTCCAGCTGGAGCCTGGCGCTGATCCTGGCATTTCCACTGAGCCCTGACAGTCCCAAAGAAGCGCTGATCCTGGCGCTTCCGCTGAGCCCTGACAGCCCTGCAGCTCCAGCCATCTCTCGCTCAGGCTTGTGTGGTGCTGCCACCAGTTTAGCTCGTTCCCCTCCCCCACTACCACTTTTCTAGGATGGTCACGTACCACCTGCCAGGTGCCAATGTACCACAGGTGGTACCCGTACCACTGGTTGAAAAGCCCTGCACTAGAGCACTGGTGTCAAACTCGCCGCATCACGTGATGTGTTGCGATGTATAACAACTTTTTTTGCATTGCTAGAGCGGGCGCGGGCATGGCTTCCGCATGATGCAACCGGCCCACTGGCCGGCAGTTTAACACTCCTGTTCTCGAGTCTCAGCATCCTTTTTTACATCATAGTGACCAAAACAAGGGGAGGGGAGGAGAGGAGAGGAGAGGAGAGGAGAGGAAAGGAAAGGAAAGGAAAGGAAGAAAGGGAAGGGAAGGGAAGGGAAAGGAAAGGAAGGGAAGGGAAGAAAAAGGAAAGGAAAGGAAAGGAAAGGAAAGGAAAGGAAGAAAGGGAAGGGAAGGGAAGGGAAAGGAAGGGAAGAAAAAGGAAAGGAAAGGAAAGGAAAAGGAAGGGAAGGAAAGGGAAGGAAAGGAAAGGAAAAGGAAGGGAAGGAAAGGGAAGGAAAGGAAAGGAGAAAGGGAAGGGAAGGGAAGAAGGGAAGCGACGGGAAGGAAGGGAGAAAGGGAAGGGAAGGGAAGGGGGAAAGGAAAGGAAAGGAAGAAAGGGAAGGGAAGGGAAGGGAAGGAAGGAAAGGAAAAGGAAGGGAAGGAAAGGGAAGGGAGAAAGGGAAGGGAAGGCAAGGCAAGGGAAGGGAAGGAAGGAAAGGAAGGGAGAAAGGGAAGGGAAGGGAAGGAAAGGAAAGGAAGGGAAGGGAAGAAAAAGGAAAGGGGCAGGGAAGGAAGGAAGGAAGAAAGAACGGAGAGGAAGGGAAGGGGATACAGAAGGATGTATAATAAGCATCCCATTTGAGGAATGAAACTTGAGAAAGCGGAAATCCTACCGGAGGCCTTTCCTTCGCTATCAAAACCTTACATTTGTTATCCGCATTTGGGCCTCTATCCACCCACCAGCCCCTCCACCCCTTACTAATTCATTCCAGGTGTGCTTTTTTTTTTTCTTCCCCCAAACTCAGGGCGTCTGCAGCCAATTTTGCAGGACACGCTTTCTACAAAGCATAACCAGGAAGCCCGAGGGGCCAAAAGGGAAGATAAAATTACGTGTATGAGCTCGGCTTGGGACAATCGTACATACAAATGAGAGGCTTTAAAAAACCAACGGGAGGTAATTCTGAGGAGACAAATAAAGAACAGAACTCGGTGGATATTCTCCCTTTTTTAAAAATCTACATAAAACCCTGCAAATGGCTGCATTTTTGCCTTCCGATAACACTTGGGATGCAAAAATAAAAGTTGGAATCAACAGCCGTCCCTCAACCTCTCCATCCACAGTCAATACAGGCAGTCCTCGAATTACAGCCATCCATTTAAGTGACCATTCAAAGTTACAACAACAGACCTGAAAAAAAAACATTATGATGACCATTTTTCAGGCTTACAACTGTGGCAGCAGCTCCACGGTCACGTGATCAAAATTTGGACCCTTGGCAACTGACTCATATTTATGACGGTCGCAGTGTCCTGGGGGGGGTCAGGTGACCCCCATTTGCGACCTTCTGAAGAGCAAAGTCAACAGGGAAGCCGCATTCACTTTACAACCATATTAATATCTTAACACAATGTTTCTCAACCTTGACAATTTTAAGGCATGTGGACTTCAACTCCCAGAATTCCACAGCCAGCATTGCTGGCTGTGGAATTCTGGGAGTTGAAGTCCACATGCCTTAAAATTGTCAAGGTTGAGAAACACTGTTTAATAACTGCAGGGATTCACTTAACAACTGTGGCAAGAAAGGTTAAATAACTGCCTTGCTTAGCAATGGAAATTTTGGGGTCATTTGTGAAGGATCAATGCTGAAGTTGAGATTTTAATTAACTATTTGAGAGGCTGCCACAAAGAGGAGGGGGCCAACTTATTTTCCAAAGCACTTAAAGACAAGAAACAATGGTTGGAAACTGATCAAAGAGAGAAGCAACCTGGAATTAAGGAGAAACTTCCTGAGAGTGAGGACAATCAACCAGTGGAACAGCTTGCCTCCAGAAATCGTGGGCGCTCCATCACTGGAGATGTTTAAGAAGAGACTAGACAGTCTGAAATGTATAGGGTCTCCTGCTTGAGCAGGGGGCTGGACTGGAAGACCTCCAAGGTCCCTTCCAGCTCTACTCTGATTGATTGATTGCTACAAGAATCCTGAGATCATTGCTGATTTAATTTCATTTGACAGCGGGTGTAAAAGTAATCCTAAACCATTTCCCACTTTAAAAAACAATAGAAAACTGCAAGAGTTCTCTTTTTTCCTTACTTCAGGGCATGAATGTAAAAAAAGGTTAGGACAGTGATGGCGAACCTTTTAGAGACGGAGTGCCCAAACTGCAACCCAAAACCCACTTATGCATCGTCAAGTGCCAGGTGGGTGTGGCCCATTGGCTGGGTGTGGCCAATTGGGTGGACCGTGGCCCATTGGGTGGGCGTGGCTACGGTGGTAACGGCACATTGGGTGGGACTAAAAAGTTCAGTCAATCAATTCCAACTTTGCAAGATCTTTTTTTTTCCCGCGAGAAGTTGAAATTGACTGATTGAACCTTTTTTTTTTTTGCACACGGCGGTGGAGGCCTAAAGCGAAAAGGTTTTATAAAACCGAGCTGAAGGCCTAGGACTGGGGTGACGGCGTACATGCCCACAGAGAGTGCTCTGAGTGCTGCCTCTGGCACCCGTGCCATAGGTTCGCCACCACTGGGTTAGGAGGAGAATGGCTTTTATTCATTTTTAATGGAAGCTAAGTATTCAGACCTAGAATCCCCTTCAGGGGCATTTCGTGAGGGGCCAATTTTACTCTCAGTCTGATTCATCTTCAGCAAAAAAAGGCCTATATATATATATATATGTCTTTGATAATTTTGAATATATATATTAGCCTAAGTTAAAAGAAAGAAAAACGAACACCAGGATAGAATAAATCAGACTGTTTAATGTAAACAAGCCTGTGGTTAAAAAATCACTAAGCTTTCGTCAGCAGAGTTGGAATAAAAGGAGATCTGGCAGCTAAAAAAAACACCACCAAAAAAACCCCATATATATATACATATATACATATACACACACACACACACAAACATACATACATACATGCATATATATGTCTCTAATTATATTAAAAATATGAATCCTGGGTAAAGCCATAAGATAAAAACAAATAAGTTCGAACACCAGGATAACATTAAACCACAAACTAATAATAATAATAATAATAATAATAATAATAATAATAATAATAATAATAATAATAATAATAATAATAATAAAATAAAAAAATCTTTATTGATTAGCCCTTCGGCCATATCAAAGTGCAATGTTCCAGCAACAAATTATTTACTAAAGTTGGATAAAAGCAATTTAAAATGAAATTTGATAAAATACAGTTTAAAATGAAATTAAAATAGAGTCCAGTAATTTAAAATATAGATAAAATATGATAAAATTATATCTTGGGAGTCACCCTTGCAATCTACCCCAATCAGTCCCACGTATGCAGATCTCAACCGAACCATTTTGTTTAAATATTGTGCCGCGTTAAATGTTATTTTCAAGTTCTGGCCGCACATAAGGTGAGTTGTTTTGATATGGGGATCCCAATGAGTCATTCGTTTGGTATATAGACCAAGGTACCTGTCTCTCACCCTTTTGTACAGGCAACAATCAAACAGTATGTGAGCCAGGTCTTCTACCTCTGCCGCTCCACAAACTCTTTTAATACAAGTGCTGAGCTTTCGTCGGCATATATATACAGATCTCATCACATTCTTTCAAAAGAGAGTCAGAAAGATAGTCCTCAACTTACAACAATTCGCTTAGTGACCGTTCAAAGTTACCACAGCACTGAAAAAAAAGTGACTTGTGACCATTTTTTCACCCTTATGACCGTTGCAGCCTCCCCATGGTCACGTGATCAAAATTCAGACACTTGGCAACTGGCTCATATTTATGACGGTGGCAGCGCCCAGGGGTCACGTGATCCCCTTTTGACAAGCAAAGTCAATGGGGAGGCCAGATTCACTTAACAACGGCATTACCAACTTAACAACTGCAGTGATTCAACTTAACAACTGAGGCAAGAAAGGTTGTAAAATGAGGCAAAATTCACTGAACCAATGTTTCATTTAGCAACCCAAATTTTGGGCTCAATTGTAGTCAAGTTGAGGCCTACCTGTATTTCAGGAACTCTATGCTTACTTGTCTGGATTCAAAAATTCACTCTAATCTAGGGTGTTCAGCTGGACTTACAAGTTCGAGGGATATACAGAGTGACTCATACATTTCAACTGTTCTCAATCTTCACCTAAGCATACATAATTTAGGCGCAAGAGTATTTTGGCATTAAATAAGGGAGTCAACCTTGTTGTTTGAATAGATAGCTGGATTCACACATGACGCTAATATAGTGGGGGGGGAAATATAAAAGCTGGACTCATACATGAAACTAATATATTAGAAAAAAATATATAAAAGCTGGATTCACACCTGTCTCTCTTAATATATGGCAAACACTTAATATATTGGCAAAACTAGATTCATGCATGACACTAATATATTAGGAAAAATATACAAGCTGGATTCACACATGACATTGATATATTAGGGGGATAAAGCTGGATTCACACATTTCACTCTATATATTGGGGAAAAAGTACAAAAGCTGGATTCAGACATGACACTAATATATTAGAAAAATATAAAAGCTGGATTCACACATTCCCACTTGTAATATATCGGGAAACTTATAAAAGCTAGATTCACACGACACTAATATATTAGAAAAAAATATATAAGCTGGATTCACACATGACACTAATATATTGGGAAATACTTATAAGGATGGATTCACACGTGACATTGATATATTAGGAAAAAAAGCTGGATTCACACATTCTACTCTATATATTGGGAAAAAAGTACAAAAGCTGGATTCAAATATGACACTAATATATTAGAAAAATATAAAAGCTGGATTCACACGAGACTCTTAATATCTTAGGAAAAAATTACAAAAGCTGGGTTGAAGCACGACACTAATATATTAGAAAAATAGAATAATTGGATTCACACATCTCACTCTAATACAGGGGTCTTCAAACTTGGCCCTTTTATGACTTGTGGACTTCAACTCCCAGAATTCCTCAGCCAGGAACGCTGGCTGAGGAATTCTGGGAATTGAAGTCCACAAGTCATAAAAAGGCCAAGTTTGAAGATCCCTACTCTAATATATTGGGAAACAACTATAAAAGCTAGATTCAGGCACGACACTAATATATTGGGGGGGAAATATAAAATTCTCACAACACACAAAACCCCAGCCAACCTCTCCCCCTGCCATTGTGGCTTTTAATAATAGAATATGAGGTACCCAGCTGTGTGCAGAGAATATGGCTTGCATATAGTGGTTGTATGAATGTTAATGCAAGACATTTCATCCAAACCTAAAAAGATCAATCGTGAATCCAGTAATACAGGTACGCCTCAACCTACAATTGCTTGTTTAGTGACGGTTCAAGGTTGCAATGACAATGAAAAAGTGATCAAGACCAGACTTCACACTTGCAACCACCATAAGGTAGCACAAACAAAATTTGGGCGCTTAGCAACCACCAAGTATTTAAAAAGCTGCTGCGTCCCAGGATCATGTATCCCCATGTGCAACTTTCTCAGCTGGTTTACGACAAGCAAAGTCAATGGGGGGAGCCAGATTCACTTAACAACTGCCTGATTCACTTAACAACCGCATTGACTGGCTTAATGATCAGGGCCAAAAAGGAAGTAAAATTGTAAAATCAGGCGAGACTGACTTAACTACACTGCTTAGCTAAGGCACTGCGGTTGTAACTTGAGGATTACCTGAATAAACCTCCTCCTTCCTGTTAGTAACCCACAACACGGATAAGAAATCCCAGAATCTGTATTTGAACTGGGCCCCAAACATTTGTAGGATTTGGATGCCCAACCGATCTTGAGGGCAGAAACTAGGGGAACCCTGGTTCACACAATCCCGGGTTAAAATCTACAACCAACTATGTAAAAACACAGCCCTCCCTCCTGTCCCTGAATCTAAGGAGTTGCTTCTGCAGGCAACTCACAAGTCGGAAGATGGCTTACATGTTTTTTCATAAACACGCCACTAGAGAAGGCCAATGGGGAAAAAAAAAACGGACATTAAAAACCAGCTAATAATCACAGGACTATTTCCTTATTATTATAATTACAGAATTAGGGTCTGTGTGAAAGGTTTAGTTATACGAAGAATACCTTGTAGGTACATTGTTGATTGTTTTCTGCAATATGCATTTTGTTTGTTGGTTTGGTTTTGCTGCCCCAACAGAAATGGATGATCTGCAAAAGCAGGCAGCCCATCCATCAAGCTACCATCCCAGATTCTTTGTTTTGCTTTCACACACGTCCACCGGGCTTAAAACCCAGCCATCCCATTTGAAGCCCTCCAGACGGTCTTACAACTAGTTCTACCGACCCCAACTTCGACTGTGAAATGCTTCCCCATGAAAAGCCAGCATAATTCACACGTAATGTGGGAAAAACATGGGTGTGTGGAAGAAAAAACCCCCCTCCCCCTAAACTGCCATTCTTTCAACCCCTCGATTTGGAAGGAAGTTTTCCGGGATGGAATCAAAATAAAATAAAATAAAAATAATGTCTGGAAGGCATCCAGCGGGGTGCCTGGATGGTTAAGTGAGGGGCAATGTCGCAGAAGCGAGGACGGATGGGGAAGGGAAGGATTAGGGGAAGGAAGGAAGGAAGGAAGGAAGGGAAGAAGGAAGAGAAGGAGGGAGGGAGGGGAAGGAGGGAGGAAGGGGAAGAAGAAAGGAAGGAAAAAGGGAAGGAGGGAAGAAGGAAGGAAGGGAAGAAGGAAGGAAGAGGAAGGAAAAAAGGGAGGGGGGAAGGAAAGACGGAAGGAAGGGGGAAGGAAAGAAGGGAGAGAGGGGGAGGGAAGAAGGGAAGAAGGAAGGGGAAGGAAAAAAGGGAGGGAGGGGGGAGAAAAGAAGGAAGGAAGGAAGGAAGGAAGGNAGGAAAGAAGGAAGAAAGGGGGAAGGAAAGAAGGGAGGGAGGGAAGAAGGAAGGGAAGGGAGGGAGGGTCGGCTCCCGAGGGCGCCCGGTTGCCGTCCTCCGGAGCGACCCCCTTCCCCCCACCGGGGGTCTCCCTCCCGGGGCTCCAGCCGGCCTCTCCCTCCCCCCCTTCCCCTTCCCCTCGGCCCCCCCAGAGCCACTCACGCAGCTTCTTCCACATGGCGCGGTGGCAGGCGAGGAAGCCCTTGCGCAGCGCGGCGCAGACGGCGGCCGGCTCGTCGGAGCGGAAGCCCTTCTGCTTCTTGATGAACGCCCAGAGGTTCTCCCGGGCGAAGTCGGCCGCTTCCCTCCCGCCGTGCCCGTCGCACACGGCCAGGAAAGCCACCGAGGCCCCCGACGACGACGACGACGCCGGCACGGGCGCCCCGGGAGTCGGGGAGGGCTCGCTTGGCGACCCGGCTCGGCCCGGGGCTGCTGCTGCTGCTCCTCTCCCGGCGCCTTCCTCCTTCTTCTCCTCCTCCTCGCCCTCCTCCTCCTCCTCCTCCTCGTCGTCCTCCTCCGGCTCCAGCACGACCTGGGTCACGTCCTCCATGTATTTCCTACCTCCCTGGTCCGAGAAGAGGCTCACCCCCAGCGAGCGGAGCCCCGCCATGCGCGGGGCAAGCGGGGAGACGACGGGCAAGGAGGAGCGGCAGGCGACGGGCCCCGCGGAGCTCCGGGCTTCGCTTTTTTCGCCTGGACTGCACTTTCCTTTTTTTCTTTTTTTTTTCCTGGCTGGCCCCCTTTTCTTTTTTTTATTGTTTACACGCGCCGGGAAGGAAGCGGCAGAGGCGCTGTTCCGACATGCCTTTTTTTCTTTTCTTTTCCTTCTCTCCTTCCTCCTCTTCCTTCTCCTCCTTTTCCTCCGCCTGGAACGTTGGCGAGGAAGCGAGAAAAAACGAGAGAGAGAGAAAAAAAAAAGGGAAAGCGCCGCGGAACAATCGCCGATGGAACGCTGGGGAGCTCGACGTTCCAAAAGGAGGGGGGAGGGGGAGGGGGAGGAGGAGGGACCACCCACCCTTTCGCCGGCCCCCGCCGCTCGCCGACAAAGCGCGTCTGCCGCTGGCCCCGCCCACGCTCCACCCCCTCCCAGTCCCTTTCTTATTTTTCTCTCTTTTTTTTTTTTCTCCCTCCTCCAAAGGAAAAAAAATAAAAATAAAAGCGTTTCCTTGTCTGGGTCTGGTTGGGTTAGGTTGGATTCGGACAAGCGTGGGGGGAGTCAGAGAAGGGGCTCGGGGGAACGTTCCGGATCCTGCTCCACGCTACCCCCCCTCTTAAAAAAAGGTTTGATCGCTGGAGAGGAACTGGAAGGAATGGTGGGCAAGTTTATTTGATCCCGGGGGGGGGGGAGGGACAGAAAGAAAGAAGGGGAGGGGGTCAAAGGGCAGAAGCTGATATTTGGATTAAAGTGGGGGGGGGAACTCTCTCATTACTTTCCCTCCCCCCATCCTCCTCTTCATTAGGCTAAAACAAACCTAGTTCCAACCCTGCCCGTTCATTTGAAATGCAAAATAAAATGATTATGCCACTAATGCTGAAGCCGCCTTTCAACCCCAAATTGTGCAAAAGGCAGCTTCAAAACTTTAAAATTAGCGAAAGAATCTTTCAAGCAATGCAACATTAAGTCCAAACTTATAGAACAGAACAGAATAGAATATTGAAAATAGAATATTGAAAATAGAATAGAATATTGAGAATAGAATAGAGTAGGATATTGAGAATAGAATATTGAGAATAGAATAGAATGAAATATTAGAATAGAGTAAGGTAGAGTAGAACAGAATAGTTGGAAGGGACTTTGGAGGTCTTCTAGTCCAACCCACTGCTCAGGCAGGAAACCCAATCAGACAAATGGTTGTCCAGTCTCTGAAACGGTATAGGATTTCCTCCCTGAGCAGGCGTTTGGACTAGAAGACCTCCAAGGGCCCTTCCAACTCTGTTATTCTATTCTATTCCATTCCATTCCATTATATTCTATAATAATGAAGTTGGAAGTGACCTTGGAGGTCATCTAATCCAACCCCCTACTTAGGCAGGGAACCCTATACCAGGGGTAGGCAACCTTGGCTCTTTTATGACTCGTGGACTTTAACTCACAGAATTCATAAATTCATAAAAGAGCCAAGGTTGCCCACCCCTGCCCTGGCCTATACCATTTCAGACAAATGGCTGTCCAGTCTTTTCTTAAAAAGTTGCAGTGTTGGAGCATTCACCGCTTCTGGAGGCAGGTTGTTCCACTGATTAATTGTTCTAACTGTCAGAAAATTTCTCCTTAGTTCTAGGTTGCTTCTCTCCTTGGTCAGTTTCCATCCGTTGCTTCTTGTCCTGCCTTCAGGTGCTTTGGAGAATAGCTTGACTCCCTCTTCTTTGTGGTAGCCCCTGAGATACTAGAAGACTGCTATTATGTCACCCCCTAGTCCCTTTTTTCACTAGATTAGACATGTTCTAACTGTCAGGAAATTTCTCCTTAGTTCTAGGTTGCTTCTCTCGATTAGTTTCCATCCATTGCTTATCCTGCCTTCTGGTGCTTTGGAGAATAGCTTGATTCCCTCTTCTTTGGGGCAGCCCCTCAAATATTGGAAGACTGCTGTCATGTCACCCCTAGTCCTTCTTTTCATTAAACAAGACATGCTCAATTCCTGCAATTGTTCTTTGTATGTTTTAGCCTCCAGTCCCCTACAACAGCGCCAGCCCTGGCTGTGTGAAGCTGGGTAAAATGTCCTTGCTGGCTTTGCAGCTTGGCCAGCAAAGCATCCAATGCTTGTGCCCGTCCAGCCTTGATCAATTTCTTGTATTTCTCCGTGTGTTTAAGTCACGTAGTGCTGATTCAAATTGTAATCTTTAAACCCAGCAATGTGTACCCCGCAAATTAAGCACCGGGCTTTCCTTGGGCTTCAAAAAAATAAATAAAGGAGGGGGTCAATTTATTTTCCAAAGCACCACAAGGCAAGACAAGAAACAACGGACGGAAACTAATCAAGGAGAAAAAACAGCCTGGAATTAAGGAGAAACTTCCCAACACTGAGACAATTAACCAGTGGAACAGCTTGCCTCCAGACGGTGTGGGTGCTCCATCACTGGAAGCTTTTAAGAAGAGATTGGACAAGCATTTGTCTGTAATGTTACAGGTTTTCCTGCTTGAGCAGGGGGCTGGACTAGATGACCTCCAAGGCGCCTTCCATCTCTATTCTGATCTAATATTTTGATCTAATACTTCCCCATCGACCTCTTGTTAAAAACTCCGCATTCTGCATCGATTTATCCTTTTATTCACTTGAGCTGACATTTTGGAGGGTTAACCCCCAGCAACGTGTGAACGGGTTTGCCGCTGGAAACTACCGGCACGTGAAGTTTTTTTATTTTCCCTTCTCCGGCTGGTGCCGGCTGATGACGCACATTAGACGCGCCCAGAGGCCGCTAGTGCGCGTTCTAGATCAAGCGCGTACGGATTGGTTCGTTCCCGTCGGCCCGCCTCCTTTCAGTTGTATTGAGTTAATGCCATCTTCTTTTCTCTTGGAATGCTGGGAGGTGTGGCGGAAGAAAAGGGAAGGAGGCGGCTAGAGGCGGGTTTTCTTGTTTTGACCTTCCTATGCCTGGAATTACACAGCATAGAAGGCAATGGGCTGGAAGGGACCTCGGAGGTCTTCTAGTCCAACCCCCTGCTCAAAGCAGGAGACAGTACAGGTAGTCCTTGACTTACAACAGTTCATTTAGTGACCGCTCAAAGTTATAAGAGCAGTCACAACTTCTGGAGGCAAGTTGTTCCACTGATTAATTGTTGTAATTGTTTCTCCTTAGTTCTAGGTTGCTTCTCTCCTTGATCAGTTTCCATCCGTTGCTTCTTGTCCTGCCTTCTGGTGCTTTGGAGAATAGTTTGACTCCCTCTTCTTTGGGGCAGCCCCTGAGATATTAGAACACAGCTATCATGTCCCCCCTCGTCCTTCTCTTCATTAAACTAGATATTCCCAATTCCAGTAGCCGTTCCTTATATGCTTTAGCCTCCAGTCCCCTAATCATCTTTGTTGCTCTTCTCTGCACTCTCAACATCTTTTTTACATCGTGGTGACCAAAACTGGATGCCATATTTCAAGTGTGGCCTTACCAAGGCATTGTAAAGTGGTATTAATACTTCACCTGATCTTGATTCTATCCCTCTATTAATGCAGCCAAGCACTGTGTTCGCTTTTTTGGCAGCTGCAGCACATGGCTGGCTCCTATCTAAGTGATTGTCCACTAGGACAGGGCTTTTCAACCAGTGGTACGGGTACCACCTGTGGTACATTGCCACCTGGCAGGTGGTACGCGACCATCCTGAGTCCGCAAGGAGAAGGGCGGGATATAAATTTAATTTAATAATAATAATAATTTAATAATAATAATCCTAGAAAAGTGGTAGCGGGGGAGGGGAATGAGCTGAACTTCGAACAGTCACTAAGTGAACTGTTGTAAGTCGAGGACTACCTGTACTTTATCACCTTTTTTTGGGTCATCAAGTTTTTGACACCTTGCTAGGTAACTGGTGGTACTCGGATATTGCCATATCCTAAAAGTGGTACAATGGGTGAAAAGGTTGAAAAGCCCTGCACTAGGACTCCAAGACCCCTCTCACAGTTGCTGCTATTGAACGAGTTACATGCTGTGTGAATGTGGAGAGACACAGAGCCTGGCCAATATGCTGGTATGTCAGCTACAACCTTAAACATGACCAATAATGAATTATTTTTGGACAATTTCAAAGCCAAGAAGGTGGCTTCATTCTGACAGTTTAAAGTTTGATTCTAGACAATGGAAGAAGTAAAAAAAATAACTGAGCCTTAGTAAAATATGACTTTTTAAGATAAAGAGTTTTACTGCATTACACAAAAATTACCATTGAATGGCTACATTTTTAATAAGAGTTTCTATTCATTTGTTATTTGTAGATTACACATCTACAGCATTCCACCTCAGCTCCTAACTATGAATAAAAGATTCTGATTATCTGTATTTTTTCTGTACAGCGTTTTTCTTACATTATACAGTATGCCTTTCCTCGGAACAGCATCCAATAGACTGTGGTGCAACGGAGACTACAGAAGAAATAAGAAAACAAGCTTGGCTAAGGTAAATATGTAATTATTTCAATTACACAGGTATAATTATAGGCTTCCTTGAAGCAAGGTATGGGACTTAGGGAAATACGCTGAGTAACTTTCCAAAAAAGGGAAAGTAAGTGGATACAAAAGACATTTTGAGAGGCACTTACAAACACAAAGTAGATGGCGTGATTTTAAAATAGATGTTTTAAATGGGTGTGGACTTCTGCAAGAGAGGTTTCCAGAGAGTCAGTTTGGTCTAGTGCAGTGCTAGGCAACCTTGGTTCTTTTATGACTTGTGAACTTCAACTCCCAGAATTCCTGAGCCGGCCACGCTGAGGGGAAAGAGAGAGGTTTCCAAGCTGAGCCATGCTGGCTGAGAAATTCTGGGAGTTGAAGTCCCCGAGTCATGAAGGGGGCCATAGTTCCCCCATGCTGGCTCAGGAATTCTGGGAGTTGAAGTCCACGAGTCATAAAAGAGCCAAGGTTGCCTACCCCTGGTCTAGTGCTTAAGGCACCAGGGTAGAAACCAGGAGAC